CAGACCTAATGTTGAGTATATCGCCATAACTCACCCTAATGTTTGACCGAAAATATCTTGTTTTTATTTATTTTTTGCATTGTTCAGTGTTTAAATCATACTAGGCAGCGACATGGTTAGAATCTCTCCAGAATGAAATAATGCTCAGTTATAGCTGGGGTACTTCCCACTTGAAAGTTACGCAGCACATTGCATTGTCCCAACAGAAAGAGCTTTGTTGTAAATGTAAAATATTGTGAACAAAAAAGACCACGTTAAATGATCTTTTGAATTCCTGTGAGAAAGAATTGCAAAAGATAAGAGAATCACTCTTTGAAGAATTGGTCTGAGAACTGATTGGCAAAGTGAGGCCGTTTTTTTTTTTTTTACCCCTCTTTGTTGGTTACTGATCTAAAAAAATACACAATTTTTTTTGTAGTTAATGAATGTGGTTTGAAAATAAGATACCCCAGCTTTACTTCAATGATGCAAACAACACCTTTTCAAATTGAAATGATCTCTGTGAGGTCTGTGCGAGAGAATCCAAAATTCTTTCCCTTTCAAGCTCAGACGACATCCATGGCTCGGACGAGGGTGGTGCTTTGAGCCCAGTTTGGGAGACAGAGATTACCCCAACAACAGCCTGAAGCAGAAAAAGACTATAATGATGATAAATGGTGCAGCATTTTAGGTTTGCGCTGTTTGTACATCTTTAGATTAGATTAGATTAGATTAGATTCAACTTTATTGTCATTACAAAGTCAGAACAATGCAACGAAATGCAGTTTAGCGTCTACCTAGTAGTGCAAGTAAAGGACAACATTTACAACACAGATAAATATATTTTGCATACATGAGAGACTGTACAAGCTGCTATTGCTATGTACATTAATTATATTACATTACATTGAAGTGCATTTAGTAGGCTTTGATTGGTTGAGCGTTCAGGAGTGTGACTGCTCTGTGATAAAAAAAACTGTCTCTTGGCCTACTGGTCCTGGCCCGGAGACTCCTGTAGCGACGACCAGAGGGCAGAAGGCTAAAAAGTCTGTGTGCAGAGTGAGAGGCCGTCCTTCACAATCTTACGAGCCCGCCGCAGAGTGTGCTGGCTCTGGATGTTCTCGAGGGCAGAGAGTGGGGCCCCAATGATGCGCTGGGCTGGGCTGGGCTGGGCTGGGCTGGGCTCTGTGGAGATCTCTCTGCTCACATGGACAGTTGATTACATCGGGTCATCCTCTGATAATCTTCTTCCTTCTAAATATAATTACCAGCTGATTATGACTGTCTTCTCTGTCTATGATCTAATGATGTCAGCAAATAAGATTTTTCTAACTCACATAAGAGGAGGCTTTGTTGAGTCACACAAACAAATAGTACATACTGTTATAAAAATAAAAGTAAAAAACGCAAATGAGGAAATAACAATTCAAAATAGAAATGAGAGTAAATGTGCATACACAATTCAATCCCGCACAACGCAGCCTATGCACGTCGGACAGTGTCGGAGCATGGAGCCGATGTGACAGAGCTGATTGGCCCCAAAGGTTAAAGCTGATAGAACAGTCTGTGCCAGGACTGTGTCAGGAGCCTCTCTGAAGGTTAAAGTGGTGATTGCTCGGAGGCACACATTTCTCAACCTGTGATGTGCCCAGGCCCAACATGACATCACAAAGAACCCAAAGAAAGAAATCATGTAAAAGCAGAGGAACACTTTTTTAGTTTAGTTTAGTTTATTTATTTAAGATGACAGGGACAGTGTACAATAAACATTAAAGAGCGACTAAACACCTGTGCCCAGCCTTACTCCGCCCACATGAAGATTTGAAAATGTTCTCTTAAAAGGGCGTTGCCTGGAGGACCAAGGGACAAGAAAGGGGGCATAGAGTCGGGCGTGGTCTGGGCTGTGATTGACAGCTCACTTGTCACACACAAAAAAACAGACAGTTGTCATTGCTGCTTAAAGCAATAGTTTACAGACCAGAAAGTCTCATTCCACCCTTGTTTACACACTAAGATAATTGTAAAGCTACACACCTGAACCTAATCACACTCAATAATCTCAGAATGACTCATGTAATTTAATTTTAATCCACTAGATGGCGCCAGAATACTCCAAACTGCAGCTGGGGCGTGTGTGAGAGTTGGATGGGTTTATATCACTGGCTCTGACAGACTGACGTCACACAAAACAACTGATGTCATAGAGAACTTCAGAGTCAATGGAGAGGCCAGGACCAAATTAAAATGTAGTACCACCAAAAAGGTTGAGAGGGCGCCACACAGCGTTTTTTGGCTCAAAAGTGATATTTTATCTAATTTGAACTAAAATGTCAAAAAAATGACCAGGATATGTAGACAGCACTACAATAAACATACTTATGCAGTTTATGAGTTAAAAAAAGTTGATTTGGTGTTTAGTCGCTCTTTAACCTCAAACCGAAAGATGCATTGAACCAGGTTATAGCTCAATTTCCACCCGTACAGTAGCTCCTGATGTTATGATATTACATTAAAATTACTTATGGTGGTGCTTCTCAATCTTGTTTTCGCTGTTTTATTTAGTTTTTTTAACACATGATGAAGCAATTGTTACAGTGAAACGGCTCAAGTGCTTATACATCAAAGTGCAAGATAAATTGTTACACGTGCAATGTTCAATCTGATTACAGTTTGTTGAAAGACGCCGTGAGAGGCCAGGAGACTGAGGAGAGTCTCTGAGAGCAACTAAAGCTTGTCCTGCTGTATCTATGCTCAGGTGTACTTCCTGTTGATTGGATTCATAAGCCCAGAAGTCTCCTTATTTAGTGAATAACATTAAAACTGAACAATTATAGCTTATTCCATCTGCACGCATCATTTTGATCAGCAGGAACAATACATTTCACTGATCAGCTGTGAGAAATGTTGCTGACTTTCTCTAACTCTCACGCATTATAACAATCGGAACAGGAGCAGGTGTAAGAGAGGAGAGGGGTTTGAGCGATGCTACAGACGCTCAGGATAAAAGTGCTAATACGTGTGCGTCTTTTTACGGCCCTCACTTTGAGAAACACTGGCTTTTGGTAAACCAGCATGAGGCTTCCATGGCAGAACACACAACACTTTTAAAACAACAACAAAAAGACTGAAATAGACTTAGCTCTGAGACATAAGATGGGATGATAGCTCTTGTCATCTCAGCCTGAAAATAAACACACACTTTCTTATCCATCCTCTAATGTTCTGACTTAAGAGAAGAGAATGACATTTTATTATGTATTTAAAGTGATATTTTATTAACTGATAGCAACAGCTGTATATTTATCATGTTGAAGAGTATGTGTGAAAGCATGAATGCAGGCAGCGTCCCGAGAGCCCCTCCACACTCCCCTGAACACAGTGCGTTCCTTTGAAAGAAGAGAGGGTCCTTTGTGGTGCTTCTCTGGAGTTATTGGACATTATGACTCAATGTATCAGTGGATATCTTCTTCAGTGAGAGAGCTCCTGTTTGTAAAGATATTGATGTGTTGAATGATTGATAGTCAACCCATTTGTTTTTTTATTTGTTAATGTGCAAAATAGGGAATAAATATGTATTGCCTGTCTATTATATTTGGTCATTTCCAAATTAAGAACTTTTTCACCAGTCTGTTGCTCATAATATGTTTAAATGTGGAAGTTTGAAATGCTGATGAAAACTGAAATGACCACAAATATGAGTCACGTTGTCCACTCCAGACAATTTTCTCCAGTTTCAGCTTTTCTTTTCATTGCTTCCCTAAATAGATTTCAATATTCTACAGAAGTTATACTCTGTCAGTTTCTGCTGTAGAATATCAAGATAAAATCACAGTGTTTTCTGTTTGTTGTCATAACAGCTCAAATTGTGGTCTGAAGCTTTATCCTGTCACATCTGCTGCAATGTCAGCACAAAGTCACGTGTTCTTCTCACATGAAGTTTTCAAAAACCATCCACCACTTCTGAGCTGTAGCTGTGAATCTCCTCACACCCACTCGCATCAGACCCAGAGGACCGTCATGTAGAGCATCTGTCTGCAGGAGAATGACCTCATCCTTTCACAATTACATGAAGGACACAGAAGGAGTGATTCCACATTACATTATAACTGTAAGGAGTATGTCCGACCAGCTTCATTAAGACTTCCATGAGTGTAGATACAGTTGTTTGTGCTCATCTTCTCACGGGTCACAACGCCACATCTGGCATTTCTGACATGACGATGGCAGAGTAATCTGAACCTGATATTTTTGTCTTTTTCTGATGTGGACCTTGAGTCTCTTAACTATTCATAGTCACATTCAGAGTCACAGCTGGAGCTGTGGAGGGACCTCCCATGTTCAGATGTCAGAACAGTATAGTCATAGACATCTGTAAAGTGTGTAGAGCAAATGTGTGCACTTGTATTATATGCTTGACTTTTTCACTTCCGGCGAACACTTTCCCACACTTTGGTGTGCGCCGTCTGCTACTGCCAAGTCCAACCCTGCTACTGTACCGGGCCACAGTGCCAAAGACGCCTGCATGTTGCCAAGTGTGGCGGTTGTTTTAAAGGAGAGGGCATCGGCCCGGCTCTGGATCAAGAGCTAGGTCAACATGGTTCAGGTCTGTGCTCTGCCAGCCACAAGCAGGACGCCTCTAAAACCAGCCCCCTCATTCTGTTGTGTGTAGACCCCCTGTGCCAACTGCACTAAAGAAACATGAGGCCTCTATGTGCCAACTTCCTGCCAACAGATCATATCACACCAAGCCAACACTGGAGCAAAATCAGGAGTGAAATCTCGTCTTATAAAACTGAACTCTCAAATGCAGTTTGCTGATTTATGTCATTTCATCCAGGGGCATATCCAGCCAGAATCAGAGAGAGTCCCTGGTACTGCACAAAGTGCACATGCACCAGGGAGACCAGAGAGGCAAGAAAAACATAACAGGTCACTGTTCGGGGGCAGCACAAGTAACACATTAAAACAAAAAGGCCAAAGGCAGTGTTTAGGTTTCACCTGCAGGATTCCCTGAGTGGCTGTTACAGTAAAGCGTGTCCACAGCCTCCACCACCTGTGGTCAGCAGATACACTGTGCACTGTCTGAGCCACACCTGCTGCAGCCTGATGACTCCCTGCACCTCTGCAAATAGACGCAGGCCAGAGTTACATAAGCTGCTGTTTTGTCGCTTTGATTAATGTGCACAGGAGGCAGGGCCGAGTGACGTCTGTTTACGACCATCACCGTCTTTGCTGCATATATGAGTTTCCATTCTTAGAAAGAAGTAAGGTGGGATGTCAGTCTGCATACCATGCACCTCCAAGCACAAAAATAAAAAAATCACATTTTCTTTCTCCACAGCTAATCATCATGACTGACTTTGACTCCACAGGAATTTAAGCAGGACTTGCCAATGACAGAAGAAATTGTCATCAGGAGATTTATACTTAACAGGGAATATACTGTACCAGCAATAAGAAGCCAATATTGAAGACGACAACTTTCTTCTGGATGCTATACTCTGTATACAGGTTTTCCCTAAACATTCTGGCATTGTCTTCACACACAGCTCATTGTTTAATGGTCTTTTATTGAAACTAGATATTTGAATAAAAGGTAATTGAATCTCAGAACATGGTTTTAATATATTTTATTAATAACTCTTGTGTACAATCTCTTTTAGATTATCTTATATTATATTAAATACATTTGGGATTCCAGTTATTTCCAGAGCAAATTCTGCTCTCAGGTTCTTCAGACATGAATGAAAATGACCAATGTTAAAGCCAAAGTAAATAGAATCCGAGACAATTATTATTTACACAATTATACAAAAATATATTTTCCAAAAAGACAGATACATTTACAAATACTTATGTAGCACTATAAAATTACAAATATATTTCTAATATAAAATCCATTTTAAATAATCTTCCAGGTCAAGTTTTGGATGAGGAAGTGTATGTCTTCTAACATGAAAGGCTCCAGTGACTGTTTTAAAGTCTTTTCCGTTCGCAGGAGTCTGAACAGTCTCACACATTGTCCATGTTGTTTCAGAACCCTCGTCTCTGATCTCTCCTCAGGTGGTCTGGCGTGTGCAGAGGACTAAGTTTAGGAAAATACCTAAACTTGGTCAGCTAAACTGGTCACGCAGTCCCTGTCCGTTGGCAATTGCCGTGGCATCCAGCAGTTTCCTGTTGGGTGGTTTCCAGATGTGTGCTGCAGCAGACGTCCACTTCCTCGCCCCTCACGGATCACTGTGACTGTTGCCACTGTGTCACATGCCTAAAAAAAGGACAGGGACAGACAGTGCTGGTTAGAGCTGGACTCCTTGGCTCCTTGGTTGCTGGTTCTATTCTCAGAAAGACTGGCCTCCAATGAGGGGACATCGTAAACACTGGTGACCCTAATAAACGCGTCTTTCTACAGCCTAGCAGGGTCTGGCTGACTGCCTGACTGACTGGCCCATTCACTGTCTGCTGTTTTATAACGGACAGAACTGAAAGAAGATCATTGAGCGGATGGAGAAGGAAAACACACGCACTCAGAGCAGAAAACAGGAAAACACACTTTTGAACTCACACTTCCGACATTGACTTAGTTTGTTAAATTCCTCTGACGCACATTTCAGTCTTATCAGTTATCTACTCCAAAAATAAGTTTGAAAGGTTATATTAAGGCCTGTATATTATTCTAAAAACACATTAATTTATAAGAAAACATCATAGGAGGCTCCTTGCATACTTAAAGGAGCGTGTCACTTCCTCATTACGTCACTGATTTGTCTGAGTGTCCAGGGTTTAGTGCTTTCACATCTCAATCAAATGTAATCAAGTTCTCGAACCTTTTACACAAAGAACCACCTAAGATAATACTTGCCTCCTGAAATACCACCATAATATAAACATGGTCTAAATAAGGATTGAACTAAACCAGGCCAAACAGCCTCCACTTTCTATAGTGTGTATAAATTATGAAGAAAGGTGCTCAAGAATATGTGAAGACTCATTTTTATGTTGAGTATTCATTCAGCAGCAGGTCATAACTGGTGGTGATAGCGGTCCCTATTGAGCAGGGCAACTTTGCAAGAGCTACTGCAGCCTGTAAGGTTCTAAGTACTCACTTTCTAATGTCCTGTCCAGGTCAGCGATGAAATCCTCCAGCTCTTTAGTGTCCCCAAGTTTAGCTGCAAGGAAGAAAATGGGTCAATATTGACAAAAATAAGGAGCTAAAGCACAGTTGTTGCTTTTGAATAGTTGATTGAGTGGCTTACGTTTTGGTGACATTAGTGTGGGTGAGGTGGGGCTGGAGAGTCCTGTGGGGGAGTTGAGCCTCTCGTCACTGAAGCTGAAGCTGTTTCTGTTGAGTGACTCGGCACCTGACACAGAGACAATACACCAACAAATCAGACCCTGTTTTCACTCCACACTTGTCCTAAAAGTCGGATCTGTGTCAGAAGTAACGAGAGTGTATAATTGTATGCATTCTCCTGTAATGACAACCTTCCACTTTCTCGCTGTCAGGCATGCGCTTGTAGTAGACACAAATATGCATAGACTGTACACAGACCGACTAGACCAGTGTATTTTTGAATGGAGAGGACCAGTGTTAGCCTGGTCTTACCACGCCATCGTACTCATTTCATTTCGTACATGTAGGAAAATAATAATCAACCAGACTTTACGGATGGGTAAGGCCGGGCTAGATCAGTGGCTCCAACCAGGGGCATTGGAGGGTTCCCAATATTGTAGCCCACACTTGGAAATTCGTGTTGCAATACTCAAATTGTAATCAATAAATCTAGCAAAACAATATGTGATGCCCTTATATATGTATTAAACTGCCTAAATAGAGAATGATAATCAATGAATCATTATTAAAAATCCTGAAATTGAATGAAGTTAAGACATTTAGATACACTTAGACTATACACACACTTCATATCGTACCAATTCAAATGATCTTGTTACTATATTAATAATTTTTATCTTTTCTTTTCTTTTTCACTGCTTTTGGGTCAGGCATGGATCATTTTGACTTTAAATATGAGCGCTCTAAACTATAAAAACAAATAAAAGTTGTCATGTCAATCAAAGGCATTCTTTTGACTTTGTCTTTCATACATCCTCCTCTTTAACATGACCCCTCTAATGGAGCGGCTACAGTCTGTCCATCCATCACAAGCAGCACAATAGTGTCACTGCATGGGACAATCCCCTGTTCAGTTGACTGCCATGGCGAGGACAAGGCCCTCATAGGAATCTGATCCCATCGGCAAATCAACCACTGTTCGAGCCATTTATGTCCATCCCAACTCACTTCTCTGGGTTTTAAGACCATATAGTGGGCAAGCTTCCTGCTGGGCTGGTGGTAAATTTTTAAACGGCTGGTGAACATTGTCAGTTATTATGTAACTTCAAAGTGCTGTCTAAAGCTAAAGAAGGCATGAAATGGTATTTTCACATGTCTGAATTCCTTTGTGGTATGTCTAAATGCAGTTGAGAGAGAGCTTCCCTTTCACTCTTCTGCTCATTTCTACACTGCCCATAATCCCGTAAATGGGGGGTATTCCATATGTTACAGTGAAATCTTAAAGTAGGCACACCACGGTATATCAGCACAGCCCCTAACCTCTAATATAATACAACATTCAAACCATGCAGGCATATGACACCTTCAGGTAAGAATAGCATTGGCATGTCATTGGATGGCACCACACTATTGGCTAACATGTGCCTGATCTCCGTTCTGGAGGCTGTCAAAGTTTACTGCAGTAATTTGACACTGGGCTGGCATCCGATAGGGACGATTGGAATCCATGCAAGCACTAAATGAATAGAATATTTCAAGAACTGCTTCGTCACATGTTCTTAACAGACCAGTAAAGATTACACTAAAACTTGCAGAAATAAAAAGGATAAGGCACAATTTACGCACAACGTTATGGATGCGCTATGTGGCACGTTCTTTGCCAAGTCATTCCCGCCCATCTCAGCTGAGCACGCCCGTACACACTAGTTTCCGTACGTGACACTACGTGATATTTACTTTTCTGGGCCTTACTTTCAGAGTCACTGATGCCACTGTCGCTCACACTCGCGCTGCTCCGTCTCTTCGCGGTCTTCAGGTGTTCGTCGTACCTGAAGTGACGCTTCTCAATTGGCGACGTGAAATCTTCTATGACAGCATCAAACTCACCCAGGACATCGTCAAGATCTTCCTCACTGACGAATTTAGCTGCAAACATAAATTCACATCTTAGTTTTATTTTTTCTCCCAACATTCTTTGTGCGTAAAAATAAATTCCATAGACAAGTATTTGAGTGAAAGATGGACCCCTTACCTTGGGACTTCAGCTTTGGAGACTTCATGGTTCCTCTGGTGCTATCCAATACAACCTCCACGTTATTAATATTCCAACTGCGTCCTATCAGCGCGTCACACTCATTCAAGACTTGTACTAAGCTTCATCTGTGGCTTCTGGCGCTTTTAACGACCCCTGGGCTCAGCGGGGGCGGACCGGGGGGAGTGACCAATAAAAGCGCTCCCCGGGTGATCTGTGCTGACGTCGTCCTCATCTTTAAAAAGTGTGTTTGTAAACAACTTGTGTGTCACTGCCAGGCTGAGGTGTGTAATGCATGGGTATTTTTAATTCAGTGGCCTGGTGGGTTTCATGCTGTATCACTGGGCAGATCATGGAGGTCACGTCCTCACTGTTGCAGATGAGGCAAAAGTAATTTCACTCTCACAAATAAAGTGTTGTTTTTAATTGATAAAGTCATTGAAGTGCAAACATGTTGTTACACTTCATTTACTTTCCAACATGGCATGGTTTTTTTTTTCTTCTTTTATACTTTATTAAGAACAATAGAACATATACACAAACAAACACAAGTAGAGGACTCTTATAACCAAGCTAGGGGGCAAAGGCACTTCAATAAATAAATAACCTACAATTACTTTTTACATTATACAATTAAACTGAGTACTAAAATAGTTAAAACACATGATACTTAGAAATCAAATAAGGTACTTCTGTCAGATTTATATTTCTTAAGTAAGGTTAAGGAGCTATGATATAATTTGAATTCATTGATGACATGGCAGTTATGAAGGAAAGGATGCTTAATGCTACACTTAACTTAAATTAAAAGCAACAATTTATTACAGTGTAGCTATCATTATTATTATTTATAACAGAAATAATCCCCTCACTTATGTAAAAGTACAATGTTGTGTGAAATAATTGCCTGACCACATATTTATTGGAGGAAAAATCCCAATATTATACCTTTGTTGCTGAATTGTTATTTCAATTTAGAAGCATGGATAATCCCAATTCATTAATTAACTTCGAAGCATAGCTAACCACTTTCTTTGATGTTAAGTCTGGGTATAAGGAGTAGAATGTATATATTTGGATTGAGCGAGGAGTTAATGGAGAAAAAATATGCACAGATACCAGGACATTCTCAAGTACAGTACTTACAGTAAGTAAAATTACTTTGTTACATACTGCATAGGATGTGGCCATATCCAAATTCTGCAATAACTGATTGAATGTAACAATAGCAAGCCTCTACAGATAAGATAAGACTTTATTAATCTCACACAGGAGAAATACAGTCACAACCATTAGAAACTTGTGTCATACTGCATAGACTGGTGATTAGTCCTATCGCGCCCCCTTGTGGTTCACAATGAGTGCAACAATATTCCTCAACTCTTCATTAACTGCAGTACAGGATGTCCATCTCTATCAGTAATTTCAATGATCATACAGAACATTCCTGAAGTCCACACACCTGATGCCTGCTGCCTCGGTGGAGTCTTCCCAAAGCTTTTTGGCGTCTGAACGTCTAATAAAACTATCTCAGAGCCCATTTATCTTCACGGATAAGTAGTGTGCACTCCAACCATGCTGAGATTTTCACACCTCTGCTGCCTAGTTCAACATGATCAGCAAATGGCCAAACATGCCATGTGTCTGCAGCAACACGTGTCTGTTGGCTTTAGGGCCCTGAGGTGCTCCTCGCAGCTCCTGGCATCAGCCAAAGTGCTAAAAGTGACACCTCCCAGAAGCTATCAGTGTGCACAAACTGAGGTCACAGCCTTTCTATTTATCACTTTGCAATCATTCATCATTCAAACAGGAAGTGAATTACCATGATGTTTATTGAGAAAATAAATTACAAAATCTTTTCATATTTACAGGAAGTGCCATTTCATTTCAATGTTTTATAAAAAAAATATATAGAATTGACGAAGTAACAACAGAGACATTCATAACCGTGTGTGTGTGCTTTTGTAAAAATGTGTGAAACTTGTACGAAGATGTGGTATATTCCCTTTTTGAGAAGCAAACCTACAGTGGCAGGTAATTTATGTTGTCGTAAAGTTTCTCATGAGGCTTCTTTTACAGCATGATGCTTTTTGCATATGGCCAAGTGCTGCGGACCACAGCTATGTTAACGCAGCACGTCAGATTACATCATTGAGATTTATTGCTCCTATCTTATGCCTTCTCGACTACTGAGAATATGTTTCAGTTTCAAATAGCTTCTCTCTCAATTAAGCCGCATGTGCACAACGTTAAAGAGCAACTGTGAAATAACTGCGAGATTCAAAAGCAGGTCTAAATAAACGCATTTTCTGTGGGTATCGTGATAATAATTGAACATTTAAACATCGTACTTTTGATGCATGTACCTATATAACGTTTGTTTTTTGTACATGTGTTTGTCTACTCAATGTCACAGCCCAGCAGCTCCATCCTCATTGTGATGGCATTCTTCCAACTTCTGGGGATGACTCGGATAAAGCGGGAGAAAATGGGAGGGTGGATGTAGTTCCTCACATGGTCACAGTTGTTTGTGTTGGCTATATATGTCTGCAGAAACAAGAAAGAAGTTGGACCATGGTATGAACTGATTTGATGGATGGAGCATTGAAACGTTACGGACCTTGGATGTGATGGTCTCGTCGTCTGTGTAGTCAGTCCAGTGAAGTCCGTCGTTGCTGTACTGCAGAGAAAAGGAGATCACGTACAGTTCTTTTCCCAGAGACTTGGCTCCCTGTGTTATAATGCCTGTGATCTTCTTCATCTGAGGCAGCTCCACCTGAAGCCACTGTTGCAGGTCATTGGACTGTTGAAACACAGGAAGGGAGTCATCAAGTCTTATGTTCAGATTTTTACAATGTCAAAAAATACAAATAAATGAGTACCCTAGCCTGCCACGCATTGATAGTTCCTTGTTTGTTGAGGCGAGCAAAAGCAGGTTTCCATGGGCCGCCAAACCAGCTGCTGGCAGTGGAGCTCGCTGATATCTGATGGTCATGGATCAGTCTGCTCTCCATCCCCAATGGCACTGAGCAACCTGAGGAGTCCAATCATCATGGATTTGTAAGCACTTTTAATTCAGTGTTTCTTTGATCCAAACACATGGAACAATGGAATCAGAATCAGAATTATTTTTATTTGCCATTGTGAGTTGCAAGAAGTCACAAACTAGGAAATTGCTTCGGCTCTCAGTGCAAACAAGTTCAAAATTAAAAAATAAGATTAAGATTAAGAGATCCTTTTTTATCCCACATTTCAGAATAAATAGAAAAATAGAATAAGGCATGAAAAAAAAAAAAAAATCTACAAAACATTACTCAAAATGTCTACTATATACAAGTAAATAGACGTTAGTGCAGTAAAGAGACAGTAGTGACAGTAAAGTGACGGTCATAAGGGCATGATTGTGTTGTGTATTGTAATAATTGTTTGTCGTAAGGAAACTTAAGAGCACTAAAAGATGATATGTAACTGATTACCATCAAGCGCACATCCGTAATACTCCAAACGCAGTGTGGCTTTGCCGTACCAGTCCACTGGGTGGAGGCGAATGAATCGGCCGATTATAGGTGGAAAGAAGGTGTTGGTCTTAGTCTCATAGGCTTCCTGGTTCCCTGGAAAAATCTAGTAAAAATAGTCCATTGAGGCTCTGACTGTGTATGTGAATGTGATGTTTATTTTAGTGAGCTTCTACCTTTCTGAAACTTTTGCTGTCGCCCTTGTAGAAAGTCCACTTGCGCCTGTCGTTACTGTATGAAATGGCAAACTTGCGTACATACTGTGAATAAAACATCTGCTTAGCCCCCTGGGTGACTATCTGACTGATCACCACAGGGCGCTGTAAGTCAACCTGGGAGAGAGAACAGGGTATGAGGGAAAATAACAGTAAAGGTAAACAAAAGTATTCATAAAGCACACCTGCAGCCAACTATTGTCTTCGTCAGTGCTCCAGGCGTTGTATTTTCCTGCATTCTTTAATCTAGCAAGATGTGGTTCCCAGTATCCTTGAAATATAGAGGACTTGATCACTAACAACGCTCTTGATAACCTTCATACATTTGATGATGATTAACTGTAATGACTTAGTACCTCTAGAACTCTTAGCTGTCAACTGCATATCTGTAACACTGCCAGACTCCAGGCCAAATGCATGGTAGCAATCTACAGATGGAGAAAATATTAAAAAGATCTCAACATCCGATTAAAATACCACTTCATTTCTGCTATTTCATATTTTACCATCATCCACAACCAGGAACAAAGTCTGCATCCCCTTTTGTTGGATGTTCCCAACTTCAGTCTCCAGTTGCCAAAGTCCTGGTTTAGAGGGAATCATCTCCAGAGTCGCAAAGCTCCCTAAAATCGAAATGAAAGCCTAGTAAGAGACACCATAGCACAATAGCAATGAATATGAATATTCATCATCAAGGGTACCTGGCAGCAGTGGGTATATGGCCTGCTTAAAACTTTTGATTTTCTTGTGAAAAAAGGTTTGACCATGGAAATGAACACTCTGAAAATCTTTTGGCGAACCCATGTTGATAAGATGCCAGCGGACCAACTGATTGGTGTACATTCTGAGGCCTTTAAGGCTATGAATAATGCCATTGATTGCTAAAATAAACAGAGGATGATTAGAACTATAGTTATAGTTTGATATTCAGTGCGGTTACATCACTCACTGTGGAACAGAAGGGTTTCCTTCATAGCTGGGATCAAACTCCTCCTTCTGGTTTTCTTCTGAATGTTCTCAAGGTTTTCCTCCACGAACCAGCTCTGAGACTCATCAAAAGTCATGAAAAGCAGAGCAAACTCCCGAGTGTTTGTAATTGTTTTATTAAGGGTCCCAACACGACACACCAGCAGAGGTCCAATCAGACCAGAATGGATGTCCCTCTCCTAAAAGACAAAACAATCCCGTTCTCATCCTTATATTGCTAAAGCGAATCATTATTCTGTGGGAGAATCTTTTACTGGATTAACACCAGAGTAGTAAGCCCAAGTCCTGCAGTCAGACTCGCCCTCTGCTGGTCCCACCGAGGAGGTGACTGTCCATAAATATGTGAACGTCTTTCCAGGATGGACCTCATTGTCATATTTGTGCCAGTAATTAGAACCATCTTCATAGTTCAAACCCTCGGTCTTTTTAGTGTAGGCCACTCCGTTAGGATGTAAAGAGTATGGGCGGCTCGCATTGTTCTTAAATACAACCTAAAGACAAAGTACTTTCAAACATTAAACATTAGTGTCACATGAAATAGGACATTGTTATGATATGAAGCCTCACCATAATATCCTGTCCGACCTCGACTTTGATAAGAGGTCCAAGAATTCCCAAATGCTCGTCCAGCTCTCCTCGGATGTCAGGGGTCTTAAAAGTGCTGTCCATGTATTCTCGGAAAATCACTTTTTTAAACTTTGTTTCACGGTTATTTAATTGGGACCTCTCTTGTCTCCTGTAACAAAAAGTTATTATGTCTGGATGAGTGGTTAGCACGCTCGCTTCTCAGCATTAAGGTCTTAGGTATATATTTATATATTTATACATACATACACATAAAAACTCTCATAAAACTCATGAAAGAGGTGTTACCTGTGCCCGTAGCCAGCATAGTCCCATTCAACCTCTTCAGCTGCGATGAAATAAATCTTTGTATTCTCTCCCACATTTTTAAGGTTATAATTTCGGGTACTGTCCAGATTGAAGTCCTCCATTTTCTCATCGCTGCTGTAGGGGTCTTTGTAGGACACATACTCATACTCCTCCTCTCTCACGCGCTGAAGCTCGTTGAAGTCCAGGTGGTCGGGCTCATTCCCAGGTACATACAGTTCATAATCACTGAAGTCTGGGCGCGGGACCCCGATCACTATGGCGTTATTGATGAGATCTTCCTCAACAGACATTGCTTTAGCTGGGAGGGGCCTGGACCCCCGTGGAGACATGCCAGGGTTGAACCCACGCGGGGAGAAGGGCAAACCGCTTCGAGCTTGAGGCAAAAAATCTTTTCTTTTTTTGGTCTTCATGCCTTGCCCTTTAAATGGCCACTGTCTCAAAGTCACCTTTTTAAGCGGCTTCTTGGGTTGCACTGGTTTACTGATATATTTGACAATGTGATCAGGGATCTCCATCGGGACAGTCTCATGTATTGCATCGTAAGTCCAGTTCTTTGCTGTGTTTTTGATTGATTTGGTTTTTATGGCTTCTGTGAGGTTTTCTTGGAGGTAAATAACCACTTCCTCGCTGCTCACAGAGGCACCAAGTTCTTCAGAGCTGCCCACAGTATAAGAATTACTAATAGATTGTTTTGTTTCATAGGAGACATTCATACTGGTTGCATCATTCTCTGTGGCTGTGATTTCTTCCATAGACGCATTCTTTTGGACATTCAACATCTTGTCATCACTTTCCGTCGATTCTACTGAGTTTGATGCAGCTACGAATGCGATTTCAATCTTAGAAGAGTTCAAGTTGGTTACATTGTCAAACTGTGGACTTGATGAATTAGTCAAATCGGTGAATTCAATTTCCAATGTTGAGTTTTCGAACGTTTTCAATGTAGTATTCTGCTCCAGAGACACATTTGAGACTTTTGCATCAGACAACACACTTTCAAAAACATTTGTAACATTCCTAGCAGTGCTCCCATTCATGTGCAAATCTTGCTCCTCTAATTGAAGATCCGTTTGGTTCTTCAATGCGGTTTGATTTGAACCGTCCACATTAAAGGAGGAATTAAAAGTGGTCAAATCAAGGACCGATCTGAAAAACTCTGTACTGTTTGTCATATTTCCAACAGTGGAATTTTCTAAAGCGATAAACTCTTTGGAGACGTTTATATCTCTTACATTTTCAGAAGCAATGCTAGTTGAATTGAACTGATGTTGTTGCTTCCTAGTGGAGTTATCAGTGACGTTGCCTGCCCACGTCAAATTTAAATGAGTACTTGGATGGATATTTTCAGTACTATTTGCTGCTGTGATATTATTTTCGGTCTGATTTGGTTTTAAGGGTTCTATATCTACACTCTGGCCCATTGGGAAGGCACCAGGTATATTCTGTGGCACATCGTATGAGAACACATCGCCTCTTATGAGAATTTTGACTTCAGTTTCATTTGCATCGATGGACGCCCTGGTCTCGTTTTTAATCGCAGAAGTTTTTGAGTCACGATCAAAAGTGGTGAGATTTGAACGATCGACTTCCAAACTGCTGTTCCCAAAGGACACGTTTTGAATGTTGTCACTTGTGTTTTCTTGAATTCTCATCGTAAAATTAGCACTAGTATTTGTTGGGGTATCTGCATCCACCGTGTCGTAGTCCAGAAATGACAAATCCAATTGTTCCATGTCCGAAGACTGGTTTTTCAAAGACCTCAATCCCCACTCTGCAGCAAATTTATCTGTATCGTAATCCACAACTACTGGTTTTTTCTGTTCCTTTTCTTTCTCTTTCTCTTTCTCCTTCTCCTCTTCTTTCTGAATCTCCTCTATAGTGACAGGGGTCCACACATTGAACTCTGTTTTTTCCTCCCCGTCTTCGTACTCGTATTGGTAATCGCGAAAGCATTCCACGTCTTGGAACTTGACACGCACTCCCTTTGTGCTTTCGTGAGTGTTGAGGGATGCGAGGAGCCATACACCTAGAAAGCAAATCAAAATGAGTCCAAGGGTGGGTGCTATTTCAGATATTAAGTGGTGAAGGTATTCAACTCTCACTTTTATTATTTATCATTTGGATTCATTACAAAGAAGTGTAAATGAGTCTCAAAGGGCATTGTCTTTTTAAAAAATATTATTATTTTTAACTAGGAAGTTCCTATATTTTCTGGTTATGAAAGTATAATAAATCCAAACTGCATAAAACCTCATCTACATAAATGTGACTTGACAATGTTCAAATCCAGTTTAAAACAATTCTGTTTACTATATGTGTGTATACAACTGAAGGATTGTAGCTTTGCTCGTTTTCATGATATTTTCTTGTTTTGGAGCTGTCACTACAATTGAGAAACAACCCTATTTCATTCAGTCACTATTACGTATTCCCATATTTGAACGGTCTGACAGAATGCACAATAGCAATGGGACACATTCAGCTTTTAACATGTCAAAGTCAAAGTAAAGCACCACATCTTGCCTTTGTTGTCCATGTTCATAGTGATGGATTCTCCAGTCATGGGGTACAGACTCAGCAGGTCTTCCGTGCGCTCGTTCAGTTCAAATGGATGTCCATAAAATGTTGCAGTCTGAATGAAATCTTGAGCTCCAACACTCGACACATGCCAAGTAGCCACTTCTCCGTTACAGAAGCCTAAGACCGGTCCACTCTCAAACATGTATCCGTTGATTGCTGAAATACAAATATAAATGTAAGCCTTTTGGATAATAGTAATTCAGTTATTCTAAAATGCAGAAACTCACTGTGCATGACATTCGACTTATAAAAGTCAGGATCCACTTTGTTGACCCTGGACTTGTCACAATTATTATTGATGTTATCGTCCAGGTACCAGCTTTTATTCTCATCAAACACAGCAAACACTGCATGCTGCTCCTTGTCTGCTTTGAGCTAGGAGAAAAACAAGTTTCATATTTAACATTATACACGCAAGTTAAGATTATTATTAAGTAAATTATTTAAATTTTTACAATAATACTTTTATTTTCAATATGATAAGAAAATAAAGTATTGTGTATCATCAAACAAGCCTGTAAACAAAGTGTATAAGTGTTGCAATCCCAAACTAAAAGTGAGATCAGTTCTAGCTATCTTAACTAGCATGAGATCTCACAATGCTGAATTTCATTTTCCATTTTGATACTTTAAAAAAAAACCTGATAACAATACTTTAAATGGGGCCATAAGTTTCATTCAAGTTCCTCTGACATAATTTTTAATTCATCAAGAAATGTAAAATTATGTCCTTTATAGTACATTTGATAGTGTATCTGTACTTTCCAAATTTGTATTTAGTTTGCATCATAGACTGTAAATATTGACGGATGTAGTCACACTTTCCGCCGCTGAAACTTATGTGCCACAACTTTTGCCTTCTGTGGACTTTTTCAAAATGGCCACGGGGCAGGAAAATTAAAAAAAAATGAACTTGACTGGGCATTAACTGGCACTAGCCCAGGCTAAACGTGACTGATCCAAAAAACAAAAATTCCCCTCAGCATCTGGGCCAAGAGCCAACTTTTGGACCATCCTGTAAAGCCCTATTCGAGAGGTAAGAAGACGCCATACAAAAGCATTGGGTAATTCTCTTTCCGGGTACACCCCCACCGGCCCGGAGTGAGATTGCAGCATGTCAGCGCACGTGCTCATGGACATTTTGGAGCCAGGACCTGCCCCCAATGGTTTTGATACTACTTTTAGCCTTTATTACTATATGATTGTTGATGCTTTTGACGACCCTGTAGTCGGATTACCTGCACATTCCTGACGTTGAGCGACTGACTTTTGCAGATGAGCATTGGTCCGATGAGTCCTGAGGCGATGTCTCTGGGAGCGTCCACAGCGCTGTGGTACATCCGTGTCAGACACCGAGCGTCTGCGTCCAGCGGCTCGTCCTGCTCCACCACACGCCACGAGTATGTATGTGTGTGCCCCGGCGCCACTCCGTGAGACTGGTTACCTGCGGAGAGGAAAAGGATTATAGCGAGGTATTTGCACAGCCATCCATTCATTTTGGATGGATGGCTGAATGAGGCAGCCACAAACTGCAATCATAATAACAGCAAGGACAAATTCATTTTCCTTCACAGTATTTCTTTAAGCATGTGACAAGTGGCGATTGAATTCTACACTGTTGCTTGATGACTTAAAGCTGGGGTACATAACTTTCTCTTTTCATACATGCCACATGATGATGTCACAAGTTTACACATTTGGGCTGAGAGCTGATTGGCTGTTCCTGTTTTTTCAGAATCAGAATAAAGTTATTGCCATTGAACAGGAAGTCACAAATGGCTTTGGCATATGGTGCTTAATACATTTCAAATACTGTATATAAATACAGACAACATGTTATCAATAAGTCCAGAGTTATGATATTATAAAGTCACAGTTCTGTCTGAACAAACGACAAACACACATGCATGTGACAAATAGTGATAGAGCCAAACTGTTTTGAGAGACAGACACTAGTTACATGGATTTTCATACATAGTCCTTTTTGTAGTCGGTAGTTAAATACCCTAGCTGTAAATAATACAATTACTATACATCAATAAAACATTTTACACCTCCGGCTGGGTAGTTGACTCCTTCTTGTGACTTCTCTATTGTTAGTCCATGTGGATATATACTGTAAGGCCTTGATGCCATATTCTTGAAGACAATCTGAAATGCAAACATACTTATGTGTGACAAAACCAAAACGAAGGAAAGAGCAGCAACAACAGCCACACAATAACTTACTTTAATGACATCTCTGATTTGTGCTCTTATGACGGGCCCCAAGATCCCAAGTTCATTTCTCCGTTGTTTAGTTTCCAGTTTCTCAGTGAATGACGCATTTTTATAGAGTGTGTACACTGCCTTCTTGTACTTTTGACCAATCCGTACGGCAGAATTGGTCAGATACTGCAACTTGAAACTCCTTTTGGGATGAACAAAATGTACCAGTAAGTTTACATAGAAATAAACAGCTCTTATCTGAACAAAAAGAGAAGATTATAAACTTACTCATCCGTGTAGTCTGGCATGTTGAGAGCATAGTCCCACAGGACTTCTTCAGCAGCGATGTAATAAGTCCACTCTTTACTCTGTCGCCTTTGAGCAATAGTCATTGTTCTTTGAGGCGCCGCAAAATCTTTACATTCCTTCACATGAATAAAACCATGCATGCCAGCTGCAGACCGGAAATAAACACATTTAAACACAAACTAATGTATTGATTGTTTAAATAACTTAAACTTATTCCTATCCATCCATCCATCCATTTTCTTCCGCTTTGCCCGTTGCCGGGTCGCGGGGGCAGCAGTCTAAGCAGAAACGCCCAGACTTCCCTATCCACACACACCTCCTCCAGCTCGTCCGGGGGGACCCCAAGGCGTTCCCAGGCCAGCTGAGAGACATAGTCCCTCCAGCGTGTCCTGGGTCTTCCCCGGGGCCTCCTCCCGGTGGGACGTGCCCGGAACACCTCCCCAGGAAGGCGTCCAGGAGGCATCTTGAACAGATGCCCGAGCCACCTCAACTGGTTCCTCTCGACGTGGAGAAGCAGCGGCTCTACTCCGAGCTCCTCCCGTGTGACCGAGCTCCTCACCCTATCTCTAAGGGAGCGCCCAGCCACTCTGCGGAGGCAGCTCATTTCGACCGCTTGTATCCGCGATCTCGTTCTTTCGGTCATTACCCACAGCTCATGACCATAGGTGAGGGAGGGAACGAAGATTGACCGGTAAATCGAGAGCTTTGCCTTTCGGCTCAGCTCCCTCTTCACCACAACGGTCCGATACAGCGACCGCATAACTGCGCACGCTGCACCGATCCGCCTGTCAATCTCACGCTCCATTCTTCCCTCACTCGTGAACAAGACCCCGAGATACTTGAACTCCTCCACTTGAGGAAGGACCTCTCCACCCACCTGGAGAGGGCAAGGCACCTTTTTCCGGTCGAGCACCATGGCCTCGGATTTGGAGGTGCTGATTCTCATCCCAGCCGCTTCACACTCGGCTGCAAACCGTCCCAGTGCATGTTGCAGGTCCTGGTTCGTTGGAGCCAGCAGGACGACATCATCCGCAAAAAGTAGAGATGAAATCCTGTGGTTCCCGAACCGGACCCCCTCCGGCCCCTGGCTGCGCCTAGAGATTCTGTCCATAAATACAGTGAACAGAACCGGTGACAAAGGGCAGCCTTGGCGGAGGCCAACATGCACCGGGAACAGGTCTGACTTACTGCCGGAAATGCGAACACAGCTCTGGCTCCGGTCATACAGGGACCGAACAGCCCTCAGCAGAGGACCCCGGACCCCGTACTCCCGGAGGACCCCCCAAAGGACACCCCGGGGAACACGGTCGAACGCCTTCTCCAAATCCACAAAGCACATGTGGACAGGTTGGGCGAACTCCCATGAACCCTCGAGTATCCCATGGAGAGTATAGAGCTGGTCCAGCGTTCCGCGACCGGGACGAAAACCAAACTGCTCCTCCTGAATCCGAGATTCGACCATCGGACGTAGCCTCCTCTCCAGTACCTTGGAGTAGACCTTACCGGGGAGGCTGAGGAGTGTGATCCCACGATAATTGGAACACACCCTCCGGTCCCCCTTCTTGTAGAGAGGGACCACCACCCCGGTCTGCCACTCCATTGGCACCGCCCCCGATCGCCACGCGATGTTGCAGAGACGTGTCAGCCAAGACAGTCCTACAACATCCAGAGACTTTAGATAGTCAGGACGGATCTCATCCACTCCCGGCGCCTTGCCACCAAGGAGGCTGCCAACCACCTTGGTGACCTCGGCCAGGGAGATGGAAGTATCCGCCCCAACATCCTCAGCCTCTGCCTCCTGGACGGGGGACGTGACGGGGGGATTGAGGAGAACCTCGAAGTATTCCTTCCACCGCCCGACAATATCCCCAGTCGAGGTCAGCAGCCCTCCACCCGCACCATACACGGTGTTGGCAAAGAACTGCTTCCCCCTCCTGAGGCGCCAGACGGTTTGCCAGAACCTCTTCGAGGCCGACCGATAGTCATGCTCCATGGACTCTCCGAACTCCTCCCAGTCCCGGGTTTTTGCCTCTGCAACAGCCCGGGCCGCGGCACGTTTGGCCTGCCGGTACTGGACAGCTGCCTCAGGAGTCCCACGAACCATCATTGCTCGATAGGACTCCTTCTTCAGCCTGACGGCATCCCTTACTGCCGGTGTCCACCACCGGGTTCGGGGATTGCCGCCGGGACCAGCACCAGAGACCTTGCGACCACAGCTACGAGCCGCCGCATTGGCGATAGAGGAAGAAAACATGATCCACTCGGACTCGATGTCCCCCTCCTCTGCCGGGACCTGGGAGAAGCTCTCCCGGAGGTGTGAGTTGAAAGTCCGTCTGACAGGGGGCTCACCAAGACGTTCCCAGCAAACCCTCACTACACGCTTGGGCCTGCCAGGTCTGACCGGCTTCCTCCCCTGCCAGCGGATCCAACTCACGACCAGGTGATGATTGGTTGACAGCTCCGCCCCTCTCTTCACCCGAGTGTCCGAGACACGCGGTCGAAGGTCAGATGATACGACTACAAAGTCGATCATCGACCTCCGGCCTAGGGTGTCCTGGTGCCACGTGCACTGATGGACACCCTTGTGCTCGAACATGGTGTTCGTGATGGACAGGCCGTGACTGGCACAGAAGTCCAACAACTGAACACCGCTCGGGTTCAGATCAGGGGGGCCGCTCTTCCCGATCACCCCTCTCCAAGTGTCACTGGCATTTCCCACATGGGCGTTGAAGTCCCCCAGGAGAATAACGGAGTCCCCGGGCGGTGCACTGTCCAGTACCCCTCCCAAGGACTCCAAGAAGGCCGGGTACTCTGCACTACCGTTAGGCCCGTAGGCCGTCACAACAGTGAGAGACTTGTCCCCCACCCGGAGGCGGAGGGACGCGACCCTCTCATTCACCAGGGAGAACTCCAACACGTGGCGGCTGAGATGGGGGGCAATGAGTATGGCCACCCCAGCTCGCCGCCTCTCCCCGCGGGAAACACCAGAAAAGTGGAGCGTCCAACCCCTCTCAAGGAGTTGGGTTCCAGAGCCCAAGCTGTGTGTGGAGGTGAGGCCGACTATCTCTAGTCGGTATCGCTCAACCTCCCCCACAAGCTCGGGCTCCTTCCCCCCCAGTGAGGTGACGTTCCACGTCCCAAGAGCCAGATGTTGGGTGTGTGGACTGGGTCGTCGAGGTCTCCGCCTTCGACTGCTGCCCAGTCCTCTCTGCACCTCGAACTTATTCCTAGTTAATTCTTTATTAATCTAAACTAATTATCTGTGTCGGTTAGATTCTTGTGTTGGATCGGTTTTAGATCGCTAATATGCACCCGCTCAGCAAGGTGTCCGTTTGTTATAGCCACGTGTTTAATCTTGGTTATTTATTTTTCACTGAGGGTCAATGCTGAGATCTGATTGGCCCTGGCTCCGTCGTCTTCACGGGGCAGAGAAGGAAACTCCCTCTCATTCAGTTTGTAGCGGCAGCAAAGACTAGCAGGGGTCCCCAACCCTCTGCCCGTGGGCTCACGGTCCCGCAAGGACCACGACAGGCGCCTGTGAAGCATGATCTATAAATAGCGTTGGTCCTGGAGCCTGGACCCAGTCTTTTGTCTCTACCCCTCCGCTCTGCAGTTAGCGTTTGCGAAAGAGCAGAGACATGCAACAGATGAGAGTCTAAGCTCTGTTTTGATCTTTAAAGGTCCAATAAAAGTCCGTATTCACAGAGATATAACCTTCTCTAGAGTACTGCATGTGAGTGAGAGACACTTGTCAACAGGCGGAATATATGTGCGCGATGAGCTGCAATGCGTTTCAATCATGTTTTAAAGCACCTGCATATTTTAGTTTAGTGCCATACTATTACGGAAAAGTTTGAGAAACACTATTGTAGTCTACAAAACGTTTTGGGTATGTTTTGATGAGGTAATAACACAGCTATAGTGTTATGGGTAGCAACCTCCAAGGTGTTGATTGACTAACCATGTGACAGAGCACGACAACATATGAAGGTGACAACGTTATTTTCATGGATTTTGTTACAGTTTCACTTTTGCCGCTCAAGAGACACCTGATTACTGGTCTCTTTTTGGTTTCCATTTGTGAGACTAGACCCATAACCATCAGAGCCCTCACCTTCCATGTGCTTGGCGGTGTGTGAGGACAGAAGCCAGCGACCCGGGTGCACTGTGACCAGGTGGGCTGTGGCCGAGGAGCCGCTGATGAGGCCCACGGACGAGACTTTGTGCCCGTCCTGCTGCAGCACCTGTCCATTCATGTGCACCGAGAACACCTCCGGATCTGAACTCATACCCAGCAAATGCAGACTGACCGCGGTATGAGCACACATGCTCACGTCTGAGAGGAGAGAGGAACATTCATTTATTCGGCAAAATGTGTTTGAAGTAAAGTTTAGGAATGTTCTAGTACAAAAGAGCTCTGCATTGCACACAAATATGAACCAGTATGTTTACTGTACTTGATAATGTTCCACAAATGATCATACGTTAATAGAAAATTGGCTTTGTTTCTAATTTGTTATTCCAACAACTCATCTGTTATTTTTAAGAAAGATTATTCACTAATATTCTTATAATGAAATATCAGTTCCACTCATTCAGCCGGAGCAGCAGGTCCTCCCTTCGCTAATCGAAAGATACCCATAGGCCAATTTACACTAACAAATACAATGTTTATTAGGTGAACTTTAAATCCAAATACATTAACATAAAAAAATAATTCTTTGATTGGCTTTATCCTAATAGCTGGTTATGCGAACCACATCTGGGGGCCCCCGCAGTGGCCCTTAGACTTGGACTCCTACATAATTGTATGACAAACTTACCAGGCAGTGTCCCATGTGTGTATCCATTTATGGTGTACTTAATATGGTCGTCTGATTCATAATTTCTTCTGGGCATGTATTTGCTTTCTTTTTCATTAAAGACCCCAAACAGGAATATCAACTCATGATGGACGCCGATCTGCTGCCCTGATGCATCCAAGGTGCCTATGAATGAAAATATCATACAATATCAATTTAAAGCTCTTTTTGTCCCAAATCACCTCAGATCTTTCAGTGTTACCAGGTTTGCAGATGAGCAGTGCTCCGATGAGGCCAGAGTTGTAGTCCTCCACAACGTGCCTGTGGGAGATGTAGGAGTAGGTGAGGCAAGACGGGTCACTGCTCTGAGGGGACACCTCTGGGGTCACCTCCCACTGGTACACATGCTGCCCTTCAGCCTTGATCTTGTCGTCCACTTTCTCTTTTGGGGAAGTGTTGTCGAAGTAGTAAGCTCCTGCAAAACACACACACCTATACCTTTTATTCTTTCAGTTCATGTTTAAGGCGCTCTGTAACTGGACAGACCAGGGCTTTAGGATGAATCGCAGTTGCATTATCACAGTCGCTGTTGTAAAAATATATTTTGACAGCACTTCCAGAGAAACCTTCTTAGACAAGCACAGCCCATTCATTACAAGAAGAATGACCCATTACTTTTATTGGGACAACCTGTTCAAACGCTGAGAAATGAGCACTACTTTCTAGTGCTACTCAACATTTCCAGAGCTACTATCAACAGAAAACAATCACTTATGATATTATAATAATAATAAGTGACGCTAACAGGGGGTGCCAAAGGAACCACTACACCTAACAACATGTTCATACAAACAAAGAAGCTGTTGTTGTTGTTAATGAATTCAGTATATATAAACTAAAGGAATAAATTGCATGTTATGAAATGTTTTATTTGTGTTCTTGTGTGCAGTTTGGTTGCAACATACTGTACAAGTTGATCTTTAAACATAATGTTCCTTCATGTTTCCTCTAAACTTGCTTTTACCCCTGCACTGTGGTCTTTAAATTAGATTTAATAGGCTTCAATTTCCTCCCTCATTTGTGTCTTTTTGCATGTGATGATGCAGACAGTGATTTCCTGAAGCACTTATTGGACTTCAGTACCGACTACTTGATAATCAGAGTGTTCGGGTTAATATTTCAGAAAAAGACAAACAGCCTTATTTGTTTAGTTGCTTAACTGGAGGCGAAACAGCATGAGGACTCATTTCAGCTCTGTCTGTAGGTTTAGCACAGCTGTCCTTCACTCTCCATCTGGATACCCACCTTCTGACTGCTTCCCGTAAGCGATCCCATGTGGGTGGATGCTATATTCTCCGCTCGCCATGTTCTTGAAAGTGACGACAAGAGTCTCACCTTCTTGAGCCCGCAAAGTCGGCCCCAATAGACCTGAGCACAGATACAAACTTGTCTTGCGACGTCAAGAGGATGATACACTGGGAAAAATTACACCATTTCCTTGTGACTCAATTCTGTGGTCTGTGGTACATTTGTTTTCGTACAGAAAGGTTTGTTTAGTTAAAGTGCAGTACAGCAGGGATGTTAACACAAAGATCATTTTGTTTGCTTTCTAAACTCTCATAGTGCATTGATTACAATTGATAACAAAATAATCTGAATAATAGTATTATGTCACAGTCATAAATCCTGAATCCGGGACACACATTTTTTCTTAATTGTTTTTATACATATACAATTATTTTACAGAAATATATTAGGGATTAGTAGTCATCTATCTCTTATAAAGTTTCAGGGCTCCATATGTTGTCTGTTTCACATCACTGTCATCTAAAGAGTTAAAACCATATTATAAAGACTATATATATATCAAACTAAACAAACAAGAACTTTCTAACTTTTCTACTCTTTAACCTTACACTGTAGTAATTATGTGTTCTGTGTAAACAATCTTGTAAAATGAAATAATGAAATGAAAAAACTATTGCATATTTGCTTTTCTTGGTGAGAACATTTCTATTTATTTGAATAAAAAGAACATAGTGTGTTGTGCATTTACCGAGCCACGAGGGATGATCCTTTGCCCGACGGAAACCTTCGTCATACTCTCGAAACACCACTTTTTTATATGTCAGACCTAACCTGAGTGGACAGATACGAAACATGAATAACCCAGTGTTGATACAGCGATGCTCATCGGTTAACATAAATGAGACACATTTTAGAATACAATACTACTTACAGTAAAAATACAGTAAAAAACTAAATATATCAATAATGATGAAAATTTGCCATACCCTTTTGTGCCTGAATAATTCCAATCTATTTCCACGGCAGCGATGTAGTAGTGTCTCTCCTTGGATCGGTGCTGCTCTGCTTTTACACAGAAAACAAAAGTTATAACCAGCACCAGGAGCCGTACCTGTCTGCACAGCCTCATGTTGATGAAGTTCACTCAAATGTCTGTGAGTAGACTCTTCTGCGAGCTCTTTATCTGACAGTGTCACAAAAGCACACATGCGCACTGTAAACATTATGTCCTAGGCCAATGAACCATGTCACTGTCTGTTTTCACTAGTTCCCCTTTAATTTGAAACGTGTGTGTTTCTGAGTCACTGTTGGGCGTGTTTTAAACTCTATGGTTAAGCCAAGATAAATGATTTATTTTGTAATTACTCACATTTGTAATGGGCCTCTGCTTTTTACTCTTTTTTGTCAGCCTGCCCTGTATATAAACAACAAGCTCTTGGACATGTAAATCTGTGTACCACTTATTTGCAGTAAAATGAATCATTCAAAGATGCATTACGACCAGTTTAGTTAATCAAATTAAGTATTCCGCTTTAGTTACAGGTTCTTAAATCTCTGCCATATTTAGATAGGATGTGAAATTATTATGTGTTTGTTACAACTTAGATTTAGAGTAAATGAGTAAACTTTTCAAATGTTCATATAAAAAATAAAAAAATAAACTGATTCATTGCATATCTATTGACTGATCCATTCTATTGGTACTTACACAAGGAACAGTGCAAACTACAGATTATTTGTAGAATTACCACAATATCTACTACTCATTAAAATGACTCAATAGCAGGCTAAACCTCTGTGTACAGTGACTATCATGTTGAAACAAATAAGCTTTAATAACATGAGAGAATTCAATATTTACCTTATTGGGTGTCACATAATGGTTATTTAGGGGGGCACCAACTCGTCAAACCTGTCAAGCGCAAGCAATGTCCCTGATTCATTTGATCTCAGAAAATCTAATTTTCAGCTTCAACATTTGTGTGACGCTGCAGACTAGAATAAACACTTGTCCTTCATCCGCTCTGTCACTTTATCCATGGCTGTCACTCACTTCTGCAGGAGCGTCGCACGAGCTCAGTCGAACACCTGACGATCACCAGTGCGCATGCGCAAACCAACCAGGAAGAGTGTTGTGTGTTGTGTGGATGTAGTTCACACAGAATCAGTTGATATGTTTTTATTCGCTCTTTAACTCTGCTTTGGGGTGGATACACTAACAGGTATGGTTTCTGATTGTTTCACTGGTTGGTTTATTCGTCTTTGTTTGTGGGTATACGCGTAATTTTAATCACGTTATTCCGCTCGGTACTTAGCTTGCTACAGAACATATGGTAGAGATGTAAATATACTAAAGTGTTCATTATGTTCCTTCTGTTCTCCTTCTCACATATTAATGTTTGCATTGAGTCCTCGCATTTGTCGTTACAGATTGTGCTTATAAAGAAATAATAAATTAGTTATAAAACGCTGGACTTGAACAATGCTGTCTTGAGGTGTGACAGTGGGACCATTGTTTTCTTTCTGGAGCACAAGATAATGAGAAGATTTACTGTTCCATATCTGATTCTGTATTCTTGTTATTACAGTCCTGTCCTAGGGAAATATGTGTTCATTATGTGCATATTGTAATATAGTGCTATGGATTTGGGTAATCGAATTATTAGATATTAGGTAATCTTCTTTTAATTGAATTTGATTTTAGTGTGAGCCATGGCATGCTGCAGGAGGGTATGTTCTCGCTCCTCAGTCTACACTCTGGCTCTGGGTCTTTGTTTTGTGATTCTGGGGACCAGTAGAATTCTACTGCTCAAGTTCTCTGCCAATGCTGGTGAGTAACATGTCAGTTCACTCAGTATGTAAACCGTTATCTTAATCTAATCTTACGTTTCATGACAGATAACAAGTATGACTTCCACCCTGCCTCTGTTAATCTCCTCGCTGAAGCACTCAAGCTGATCTTTTGTCTTGTGATGTCGATCAGGGTTGTAGTCAGAGGTACATTACATTTCTGAGCATCACTGTATAAAATGTCAATCTGTGGTTGTCAACACGTGTTGTTCTGACAGAGGGACGGTCATGCAGAGATCTGGGATTCTCATCATCTACCTCTCTACTTCTTTCATTTAAATGGGCCATTCCTGCATTTCTCTATTTTCTTGACAACATCATAATTTTTTATGTGATGACATATCTGCAGCCTGTGAGCATTAATAACACATTTAAAATTAAGTCTACATTGACACTATATGTTGACTATATGTATTTTACTTTAATTTTTCAGGCCATGGCAGTTTTGTTCTCCAACTTTGTAATCCTTACCACAGCTGTACTCTTTAGAATTGTTCTAAAGTAAGCAATACTTCATCAATAACAATAATGTTCAGTCTTGTAATTATGTATACAATTAACTATCATTATCTTCCCCTTCAGGAGACGATTGTCCTGGGTCCAGTGGGCATCTCTGGTTATTTTGTTTCTATCCATCGTTTCTTTGACGACAGGCTCTGGGGGTAACCAGCACCCCATCTCTGTCCATGGTCCTATCCATGCAAACCCCCTGTCCACTCCCTCCAACTCCTGCATCCTCTACACTCAGCTATTGGAGCAAATGAGGAATAGCAGGTAGACTAATAACTAATAACAAGAGTATCATTGTTATAACAGTTATAACAGGGTTGGTCCAGAACCTTTCTCAGCTTTTGACCATGTTATAGTTGTTTTCTCTTGCTATTTACCACATTTCTTTCATGGGTTTTTTACTGTGGTATGTGGTGAATTCCCCCGCCTTGCATGATTATTTCATGTGAATGTTGCGTATACGAGCAGTCCGGAAAGAATTTCTTTGGGACTGAATACGGAAGTCTGCAACACTTCTCTTTTATACTAATGTTTTAGCTCAAATTGAGATTTTTTATGTACAAAATATTTAATAATGGGCCACGAGGGTCATCAATTATCATATATTGAAGATGTTGACAGTCACGTTATGTCCCTTGCAAGCACCATGGGACTTATTCACCCCAAATATTAATATCCCATATATTCATCAAAGTCATTCTTTGTGGTTCAAAATGACATCTGTTGGTACAATGATTTGGCCACCACATGAACAGACGTGATTTATTATTGTGCCCAAAAATGACTTATCCTATGTGTTTGAAGTGCCAGCGAGTCGTGGGTGTCGGCGCTGCCTGCTCAGGAGTGGAGAAACAAAATGGTGGAGAAGCTGCGGACATTTGGAGTGGGTCACATCTTACTCATTCTTCAGTGCTTCATCTCTGCTATGGCAAACATCTACAATGAAAAGATCCTAAAGGAAGGGGACCAACTCACAGAGAGCATCTTCATACAAAACAGTAAACTGTAAGAAAATATACTTGTTAAAAATCAACAAAATTAAGGAAAGGCAAAGTGAAACGGGTGGGTTTTGAGAAGTGATTATAAGTTCTGTAGTGAGTCAGTTTCTGATGGGTTGTAGGAGTGAGTTCCAGAAAGTGGGGGCGGCTGCGGCGAAGGCTCGGCCCTCCAATGTTCGGTGTTTAGTCCTGAGGGAAGTTGGAGGTTGGAGTCTGTGGATCTGAGGCGGCGGGAGGGACAGTGATAATGGAGGAGGTCAGTGAGGTATGAAGGGGCAGGTTATGGAGGGACTTGAAGATGAGGAGGAGTATTTCGGCAGTGGATTGTGAGAGCGAGGGGAGGAAGTTAGTCTTGTCTTTCTCTTATTACAGTCATTCCTGTGTTGCAGTTATGTCTTTGGGCTCATATTCAATGGCCTTACCCTGGGACTGGGCAGTGAGGCGCGGGGGATAACCATACACTGTGGTTTGCTTCATGGACACAACATATTCTCCTTGGGCCTGGTGCTGGTCACTGGTCAGTAACTCATTTACAAATTGCTTTAGTATTATGTATAAGTTAATGATTTATTAAACCATACTGATTGTTTTATTTATAATTTCATAGCTGCCCTTGGGCTATCCGTCGCCTTCATCCTCAAATTTCGAGACAATATGTTCCACGTTCTGACGGGCCAGATCACGACTGTCCTGGTCACAGCCCTCTCCTTGTTCCTCTTTGATTTTCGTCCTTCTTTGGATTTCTTCCTTCAGGCTCCCATGGTACTACTGGCAATATATATTTACAATGCCAGTCGACCCAAAGACCTAGAGTACAATCTGCAAAAGGAGAAGCTCCGGGTCATCAATGGAGAAGTCTTTGAAAGGTCCAGAGGGGTAAGAAAAAATACACTTAAACAACTCACAATGTCTGGAAGTTGAATGACAAAGAGCTCTGGTGTGTACTATCTGCTCTGTCTGCTGCACGCTGGGGTAGTCTCGCACAGTTTTTCCAATGTAGTTTTACTGAAAATGGCAAATCAAATCTTGAATGTTGAATCTTGAAAAACAATGTAATCAATTATTGTGAAGATTATCATTAAAACATTTCCTTCAAGATGTTAAAACATGTCTAAACCATGATATACATATAATGGTCCCTCTTCTTTACTTTCTTCACTTTGAGTTGGGTCCATTCTAATCTAATTTTCTTTATTTGCGAGGAAGCGACTATTGGTTTACTACCGTGAAACTGAATTAGTGTTTTAGATCTAGTCAGTCTGATGTTGAAATTAGATTCGTTTTTCTTGTGTTTACAGGATGGAGAGGAGCTGGAGCTTCTGACCAAACCCAACACAGACAGTGAGACAGAGGATGACTCTTTGTAGCAGCATGTGTTTTCTCAAAGCTGTGGAACTACAGGGATCATCTATGAATCATGCCATTATCAGTGATATTTTGCACTTTTTGTTTTCAAACTTTTTTTTACAACTGTGCCTGTCTATTAAAGAATGCTGTTTTGCTATGATGCCACTACATGAAGGAATGTATACAACATTGCAGCCTACAACCAGAAAAGCACAATCAGCAAATGGAGACACAGTAGTCAGTGAATAGATGTGTTCATAAAATAATGCATTTGTTGTACTTTGTTTTGTGCCATGTATAAATAAGGATGTTACATAATGGTTCTTAAGATGTATGACCAAATAATAAACTACTGCTATTTCAATCCAAGCCCTACAGGTGTTTTGATTAGAAGAGATTTATGTTCATAAGGTATAATTGTTTAACTATCCACTAGGGGGAGATGTATCCTAAAGGAGGCCCCACCTTCATCCTTGCAACAGTTGTAATATCCAAGACACATGTAGTAAACAAATCTTTATTTTTCAGACAATACAATGTACAGTATAAATAAGACTATAGCAAACACATTTTTACAAACATGGAAATTGGCCATAATTTTTTTGAGTGAGCAGGCCAATTAAACATAACAACAATAAAAGCCAAACCATGTAAAGTCTTGACATTTGAAAAACACTTTTCCATTTTTCACCTGCATTATGGTGCAAACCAAGAGGTGAAGGCTGTATTTCGGGCCCTCACTAAGTGCTACAAAACATTCTTAAACCATCCAGAAAGATTTAGCAGAATATAAAACAGTTCATTTCTCTGTGTTGGTACATGAAAACCACATGTGTCCTCTATTTGTAGCCATGGTATCCGTCCTGGTATCCGTGCTCGTATCCGTGCTGGTGGTATCCGTACCCTCCGTACTCGTCCTCAGGGCAGCGCATGCCCAGAGACTGCTGGATGGCCATCTCCTGTCTGCGCAGCTGCATAGAGTCCACCAGGTCGTAGATGATGGCCATGGACCACATGGGAGACGGGTACCATGACTTCACGTTGCCGTCTTTTCCCACCAACAGCATCGAGAAGTATTCAGGGCTGATCTGGAAGTAATTCCTCATGTCTTTCACCAGAGAGCCTGACAGGCTTTCACGCTCCACTGTGGCTGTTCCTGATCAAAGAAACACATTTATACAGTATATTATACAATTTTAGATTACCTTATTTGGTAAATCAGTCTTCTGAGCAGTGTTGGCAGCAGGCAGAAACATTTGTGTGTAAAACAAATGGTTGATCAACTTGATGTGCAACAGTTTAATAAATATCAAAACTTTAATATATATACTGTATATATATATATATATATATTCAGTGGGGGCTTTGCCCAAAGCCCCCACTGAAAGATCAAGGCTATGCTCACACTCAGAGAGCAGCCGTCCTCCTGTGGACTCACCACCTGCAGAGGGTCAGTGAGGGGCTGGTGCTATGAGACTTGGGTGGCATCTCTGATTGCCACCCCCCTGACCCAGAAATGGATTAAAGGGTAGAAAATGGATGGATGGATGGATATATATATTATTTTTTTCTTTTGAGTAACTACAATGAATTGAGGCAAAATAATTTTAATCAAAGCTGTAAAGTAATCAATTAATAACATTAATTTGGTTCTGATTCTGATTCTCTTATAAATGCAATTTGAATATTTGCCATGAACTAGCTGGGTTTCATGTAACTTCACCACCAGACCTTTTATTTGAATTATACATAGTATTGTCACTACATTATTATAGAACTAACTGTGATAGTGCCATTTTATTCAAGAATTATAAAATATGTTACCAATGTGAATACGAATTTAGTCAGAGTGGTTTGTCCGATAAACAACAATATTTATAATATAAAGCATGAGTTAACATTGTACTGATTTACATTGCACTAAATTCATACAAGCGCAGGGTCGTTCCAGACTTCACAATTAATTAAACTTCTGTATGCTGCTAGTTTTTAAAGCTGCTCCTCTGCATGTGAGCGAGAAGGAAAGTCTGAGAAAAAGACGCCAGTGTTTTCAGAAATAGAGGTGCTATGTTTGAGTAACCAGCTTATGTTTACCATGGACATGCCTGGCCTGCATACACACACACGCACACACACGCACACACACACACACAGACACACACGCACACACACAAGGAAGTTCTACTCACCATTGATAGGATAGAGCTCCAAAACTCCACCCATGTCCAAGATGTCTGTACCAACCAGCTTCAGGAGAGCGATGTGCCTCAGACCTGCAAGAAATCACAATGTATAACATACTTTGAGAAATATGAAGAGTATGTGGACATTTGAATGTAAATGTATGTAAATAAAATATAAATAATAATAATGGATTCAAAACAGAGAACCTAGATACTCATTTGAGCAAGTATCAATTCAATAACAATTACATAAACAGGACAAAATTATTCTAATTATTATTTAGATCTACAAGGTACAAAAATATAAATAGACCCATCTCCATCAGATATTGTCCTCAAACCTATGCATTATTCATCTTCTACATTATGCCCCACCTATGAGGCAGGATGGATTGTCTCAGCACAGAAGAAGTGCTGACTGAAACACATTTAGACAGTGTAAAATAGTTGATAGATTTCACATGAAAAATGGAAGCACGTTCAGTGTAAGCAAGTAAGTAAATAACACGTTCCTGAAAGGGGAAAAAACAAACCAAACAAAACAAAAAGTAAGTATTTACAGGTCTACAGGTGTCATAGAGCTAGTTTGGTTTACTACGTTCATTTTGAAAACAATCACATTGTTTTCACATACTCTTTTGTGATGTCAAACGTAAATAAAAGGTCCAGAGTTCTGACAAAAAGAACACAGTAATTTTAACTCTAAAGTCTTTTTTGCTCATACATCATTTCCCTTTTCTTTGCTTTTCATTAAGCCTCGAAGATAAGCTTTTGTAGTTTCACAAAGATTGGTCAGATCAGTATCATCATTATCATTAATTTCTATAAAAGGCAAGAGATTTTCTCTTGTTTTGTTACAAAATATAAGATCATATGTTATCGATCAGTTACAGAGCCAAACATTTCTGTTTTTATGTAAACAAGTGGAAGCTACCTCAATTTTTGGGGCATGATCCGACAAATGTATGTTTCCAAAGCTGCAATGATTTATTATACGCGTTTTAGCTGGTCTTAGCCATCCGTACACTCCAGTCAATCATAATTTCCCTGCATGTAAGGCTTAGTATGAAATGTAATTTGTACTATGGTGCGGTATGACAAGGCTAATAATGTTTTAGTAACCACAAAAATCTATCCTTGTATATGTTTAAGGAGGATTTGAAACATAAAAGTATAGTCCTTGTCCCCAGGATGCCTTGTTTGTTTAGCAACAGTTAGAAATTGTTCATTACGCAATACCAGTCTCTGCTATAATCATGCAGGGAGTGCGATAAACATGAAGCCAGTCAGTTTAGTAAAAGAATGGGAGGCAACATATACAATTAAAATAGTAACTTTCTCACCACATAAGACCCCATACAACAAAGCATAACTACCTTTTTCATCCGTTTCAACATAGTTTTTATCGATCGGCAAATTGCACCAATATTGCCACGCCCCTGCTTTTAGGAGGAGTACACTTGTCCAACCCAGTCTTTCTTTATTTGCAAGGCAGTGCACATAACACAGACTATAGAAGCCTCCTTTGGTTTTTAAACAAAAATCTAAATTAAAGAGTATGGGCCAATATACTAATCCACACGAGACTGATATTAGCCACATTTTACCCTAACAACAGCTTCTTGTCTGCTTAAATGAAAATGAAAAGGAGACGCTGTGACAGTAAAACGGTAGCGTTAGGTATCGGTTTGGCCTTTCGTTTACATGAAGACGGTGTTTCAGAGGCATGGAAAGGCACTCGTTGAGAAATAGCATCCAGAGTGGAACAGAACAGATACACTGCGCCATAAGGGCTGTTTCACCTTCTACAGCTTATAGCCGTGCCACCTACTGTATGGGCACAGGGGGCACCCCTGGTACTGCAGACTAAATTCATTTGGGCTACCCAGAAAAAAGTCCCATAGAACTCAAAGTAAACTAAAACAGCTCGACCTCAGAACGATGTACGCTCATTCAATATGAGCGATAAAGTCGTGTGCATGGATCTATAAGTATGTTGTGTGGCAGACTCAGTGTCCCAAGTGTTGAACAAAAGCTATGGGGTTGTTCCTTTGTTTTGCCATTCCAAAAATGATCATGTTGTTCTGTCAGCTTTTGTTCTCCATATACTTAATTGTTTCTTGTAAATGTTAGTATTGTGAAAGACTAGATATAAAATGCATTAAAGGGGCTAACCAAAGAAATAAATAAACTAAATAAACTAAAAGCTATGCTCACTCCTTGACAGAGATATTTCAAAGTTCTGTAACCCCAAAGGAATAAGAATCTGCTGACTCATTGTTATCCACTCCTCTGTTTTTGAGAACTTAATTTTATCCCAGTGTTTATTATTGAATCCATCTCAACACGGGTTTCCAGGTAAAGCATGGAGACCTTGGTGGTCTTTCAAACCCATCCAACAGCCCGTTTCCTCTGAAGCGAGGAGCCCACATTAAAAACAGAAGAGCTCAAGCTTTACTTGAGAAGCCAAGTGCTGAATAATGGGATCAAACATCTCAAGTCTTCAGCTCAGTCAGCAGCAACAGCAGCAGCAGCAGCAGCAGCCAAGAGAAACATGAGGAGAAGCTCATAAGAATATAGTATGAAAATGGGTGACTTGAAATTGATTAACCCTTTCGCCGCCAGAGTAGAAGAGTTCCTACATGAGCTCATGACTCCAGGACCATACACTGTAAACACTGTAAACACTTGACACACAGAGACCAGGCCTCCTACAGACGTTTCCCGACACTTTTATTATTCAGTGTCAGGATCCATTTCTCTAAAGGGTTAATACTGGTCTTCAAAGTTATTCACATAATTTTATTCAAAGTAAAATTTAAACTGTGAAAAGTAGCCAATGAAAGTAAGCATTTTAGAACGTTTGATTAATTAACTTAAAAAGTGTTTAAATAAACAAAGCCTGTACGTAAACATACTATGTATACATACTCTTATGTATGTATGTATGTATGTATATAATATTACTTATATTGATATATTTTTAATAACTGGTCATTATCCGACATTACATTTTTCCACAGAACTCAAAATGTCTAATTGAAAAAGTGAAACTTTTGACTATGTATGCCTCCTTGTGCAGTCAGTCACCATAATAGCAGATATTAAAGGGAGTGGACTCACCCATATTACAGGCCTGGCTGGACAGAGCGTACAGCTGCTGCTGGTAGGACCACTCCTCATCATTGGGAGCAGAGATGATGAAGAGGCGACGTCTCCAGCGGAACCTTCAATCAGACCAGATTTCAACTTGGCTTTTGAAACTTCAGTTTGGGGACGGCAGTGAAAGCAGAACAGCTCTTTACTGAGTGCACGCTAACATGCTCCCATGCTATTACTGCCATGACAACTACAAATTATGGTCAAAACGTGCTTCATCTGAACACTATGATCATGGTCTCCATGGTAACAGAGGTTGAGACATCTCAAGAAAAATGTGGTTTTTGGGATTTGGCCTTGAGTAGAGGAGAGTGAAGTGTTCCCAAATGTGCCAACCCAATCCGAGCAGTGGCTTGTGGACGACTGCGTTGAGCAGATGCTTGAGACAAACAGATCGAACTAATGGGACCACCCACTAATACTGTGGGATATTTCTTTTGTCAAACCTTTTGTCAAGAGGTTTTTTGATATTTTTGAACTGGGCCATTTATCACAAAAAGGAAGTGTCAAAAGTCTGTCCTTTTTCCACAATACAGATCACAAGGAGGAAAAAAAAACACAATTTTATGATTGCGGTCTCATAAAAAGGCCATTGCTTACCCACAACATGACATAAATATAACCTTCTTTAACTTATTCACTGTAGGTGCCTAGCAAAACAACATGAACACAATATATAAAATAGAAAGTACAACAATTCAAGAATAATTGAATTGATTGCAAGCTGAAGTACCACATCTTCAATGTACCTAATTAATCACAGTCAGTCTCAGAACAGTCCTGATCTATGAGTATTTCTGGCCTCTGTCACATATTTAGATCAGCTTTAAGTAAAGAGAGGACCACCCTCACTCCACAAACCAACTCTCAGCCCAAAGCATAAAAAAAGAGACTCACTTTTATTTCCGAGTTTGCTAAATACATTTTTCTCTAACGGGATGAAGACAGCATGTTGCGGTTTGATTTTTTTTACAAACTGTCACTTTTACAGCACTCTTTCTATTGAGGCAAAACTATATTGTGTTTCTTGTCACTATTTTAATGTGTTCCCCTCAATAGCAAAATGATATAATGTCATCTCAGAAGCTCGCATATGGTTTTATAGAATCCCCAACGCACAAACCTGGAGAGGTAGTTCTCCAGTGACCGCGGCTTGTCCTCTTTCTTACAGGCCACTCCGTCTCTCTTCTGCTGCTCCATCTCCCTGATCCGCGTGGAAAAGGTGTCTATATAACTGAACACAGCCTTCATGGCAATGGGGACTTCATAGGTTTGCTGAAAAACACAACATCTTACTCTCATTACACGACTTCAAATGTTCCATAACAACTGCAGGAGCTGGAGAAGAGAGTTATCAGGGTAGTGTGGTTTCAATTATGTGTTTTTGTAGACATTTAAAGAGTTGAGAACTAGGTCAAGACTACTTGAACAAGGTCATTCAATTGTTTGGTCACTAAGCAAACTAGGCTTTTAATTAGAATTTCTTTTTTAAGATGAAAAATGTTAAATATCATATCTTATAATTGATGAGCCTGGGTTGTTTCACTAAAGGAAAAATGGGGATGAAAACGATTTATTGTATTATATTCTGTATTCTTATTCATTAGAAGGCATTTATATATGGTTGCAGCTGATTTAAAAAAAGTTTTTGGAATATCAAGGAGAAGTTTCATAGGTCTCTTTGTATATTACATATTAATATAGGTCCTCTTATTTAACTTTCTTTAATTTAAAAAGTATTCATGATTAGATTCAAACTTTTGTCACACACCTTATGTAAAACACAATTTCTTCAAATGTACAAACACGAATGGAACAAAAATTAGTAACAAGCCGTGATAGATGTGTCTGTCTGCGTCAGTAAGCAGAGACAGGAACACTGCAGCCTTTTGACAAATCTGTCCCAAAACAGCCCTGGTTTACCCTGGCACACACATCACACACACAACACACACACACACACGCACACACACACGCACACACACATCACACGCACACACACACACACGCTGTTCTGCCAATGTCCTGTTGAACTGAATCGCTGTTTTCATCAGCGCAGCCAGAAGGGATAAAAGTGGCAGGTAATTGGCCAGTCTTTAAATAGCTGTCCAGACAAGTCAAACACCAAACAGGAAATGTATTCTGGCTCTGAAATTGTGCCACTTTTACAGTATGTTGTGGCGTTTCACCAGCTGTAGTATCTTGTCGTGAAAGTGATGCTGGGTGACTTTGACTTGAGAGGGTCATCCACGTGTTTGTCTACAACCTGGAGATGGTTTGACATTCCCTGAGATGTTCCCCAGTATGTCAAATCAAGTGTGCAGTCTTACTTTTATTAAAATACACTATTACTTATTACTACTAAGAATATGTTTGAAGTGTGGGTCGCCTCTGATCACTGATTGCGTCCAAAACTTGGCTTGAGTAGATGCTTTTTGGTTTCAATCCAGGCGGAAACCTTTCACAGCTAATTCCTTCACAATTACTTAAAAAAACAAGCCTCCCATATGATAAGAAGTTTTGATGTATTGAAACAAACAAGAAACAAACAAAACAATGTAGATCCATCAAGTAAATAATTATTAAAACCACATAATTGTGAATTGAAGAGACATTTGCACACGACAAAGTGAGAGGAGTGTACCTTGACTCTTATGTCGGTGTCGGTGAGGATCATGTAGAAGTCCTCGTACATCATGTGGAAGTCTCTCCGCAGCTCTGTGATCAGTTCCTGGTTCACCAGGTCCTCTTGCCGCAGGCCTCTCATCGGCTTATCGTTGTCTGAAAATGAACGTTAACAACACAGCGTTAAGAATAATTCATCCACACACATGCACGATAACCTCTGACTAGAGCCAGTTCACACTCGTTGCTCTGGCTTACTTTAAAGAATCGAGCTTACAACATTGTCCCTCATCAAAAAAAGACCTGAAGTTGTTTTTAGATCCATCCACGCTAACATCAGGAACTTGTGGCACAAACATGTAACTCTTCCTCATCTGCCTAAAAGCTTAGTCTCAGTTCTGTAAAAGTATGATGTCATTGAATCACTATCACAGAAATGTTCTGCCTTTTAAAGCAAAAATATTCAACATACATTTTGATTATTCCTCAGGAGATGTTGGGCGGGTTTATACCCACAAATAAAGCATTTTGTACCAGAGTTGGTCCAGTTAAAGGGACCAATGCGATCATAGACCACTTTCATATTTTTCACATGAGGTAACTACAATCAAACATTCTTTTGTAAAGGGAAGCGTCTCACAGAAAGACCCCTCATTATCTGGGGATACATTAGCAGCGACAACATGATGCTAATGGACATCATAATTCATTTATATCCTTTCTGAGAAGTCACAATCCATTTTTATTTTCTACAGTGCGGCTGACACAACTCCTTAAGAAGCTATGAAGTCACCCCAGACCAAGGGAGGGGGAACAGTAGAATAATCCTGTATTTGTACACATGCTGGAGCGTGAGGCAGGGACTCATGACTCACTAAAACAGCATTGTCCACTTTTTCCATATGAATAAAACCAGTTGGACTCAAACGAACAAAGTCTTCTCTATGTATCAACACCTCAACCGTTAATAGCGACACGTTTAAGTTATACGGGTGAATACAAAAGCATACGGTTGCGAAAAGAAACTGAAGTAAGTCACATTAATGTCAGGATTGAAGTGTATCCATGTGGTGCTGGTATTTCTCCCTCCCCCTGCTCTGTTACATGTGGGAGTTTGTCTAAACACTGTACTGTAGACAGGTCCAGCAGACTCCACAGGAACAGTCAACTATATGTGTACGTTGTATTGAAAGCAGAAGACAGATTTACGAATATCTTTGCTCAATGACAAACCATATAATCAAATCACTTCGAATCTGATCATGATAATTACTGTGTTAAAAGATTGTATACCTTTTTTAGTTAAGTGTATGAGTCTGACTTTACCTGCTGTGAACTTTCCACATCAGGACTGTGGCTTTGGCTGAGTGAAAGGCTACTGTAAGTTTGGAACATTTTCTTGGACTAGAGACTGAGGATAAAAGCATCTGACGTGATGTGAAAGAAAGATAAAACTAGAATAGAACATGTGGTAGATTACAGCCTGACAAAGGGATATGACTAAGGGGTATGACTGCAGTACTTTATATTGCTTTGTTCTGAAGGATTTCTTTATGATCTACTTCAACAAGATGTATTTGATTAGACTTTAAATAAGATCCAGGTCCAAAACATAACGTGGTGCATACTGGGAACTGACTAACACGCAGACCAACAAACAAACCCTTGGTATTGCATTATCCCCTGGCAGAGATAATGAAGATCTTTAAGACACGCACACACACAGACACACACACAGACACACAGACTTGTACAACGTGGGTCAAGTGTCTTGCCTTAGTTAACCACTTTATACCCTTTGTGGCACCTACAGTTTTTTTCCACAAAAAACATAGACTCCTCCCAATGGATTTACTAAAACTAATGACGACAATCAAAAATCATGTTATTGCACAAGTCTAATGGTAGACAATAATACTACAAAAAGGTTTCATTCATTTTTATTCTAGTGTATTTTTTGTTGTTGTCTTGTGTTTTAGTTACTTCCTCCTTTCCTACTCTGTGATGAGTGAGTCTACAAATACGACACTCACAGAAGGACCCAAAATGTGTTCAAATATGGTCCTCAAAGTCACTTTTCCTCTTAACTTGTAATTCTGATTCTGAATTCTGATCCTGATTCTGATTCTGAATTCTGATTCTGAATTCTGATTCTGAATTCTGATTTTGATTCTGATTCTGAATTCTGATTCTGAATTCTGATTCTGAATTCTGAATTCTGAATTCTGATTCTGATTCTGAATTCTGATTTTGATTCTGAATTCTGATTCTGATTCTGAATTCTGATTTTGATTCTGAATTCTGATTCTGAATTCTGAATTCTGATTCTGAAGTCTGATTCTGAATTCTGAATTCTGATTCTGAATTCTGAATTCTGAATTCTGATTCTGAATTCTGATTCTGAATTCTGAATCTGAAATCTGATTTTGTGTGTAACCAGCCAACTTTGATTGTTAATTCTAGGAAACCTAACTTTAAAATCAAAACAAGTAAAAAATAACTATATCATAACAATCAAAATGACTAGTTTCTCACTCACAAAACTGTTTGGTTCTATCACCATATTACACGTCCAGTATCTTTGACCTCTGGCACATCTTTAGATCAGAAAAAGAGCCAACCACTCTCACTCAGCCAATCAGCTCTCAGCCTCAGAGTCAAATCAAAAGATAATATTTAAGACGAATACTGCATGTTGTGGTCTGATTTGATCCCAAAATGTACTTTTTAGAATAAGACTTAAGTACCCCAGCTTTCATGAATACAATACATCACATACCCAGCTGGTAGTGGTCAATCTTCATGGTGGAGTTTGTGAAAGTGCCAAAGATGGTGATAATGGAGACTTTGCGGATGGCCATTTCACACACAGACTCCAGGTATTCGTCCCTTTGTTGGACATACATGCTGTTCTCTTCGCTGGGTGTTGTGATGATCTGGAGGAGCAGAGACACAGACTGAGTTTACAAAGCACAAGGAAAGGGTGTGTCATGGCGTGGATTTGGTGTTTTATTTTGTGTGTTTTTAATTTTTATATTTTAATTTGACAATACCTCTTCTGTAGTTTTGTTTTAGTTTTACTTCCTGTCCCGTTCCCCTGTTGACTGTCTGCCCCGCCCTAATGTTGGTATATTATCTACTACAATTGTTGGTATTAATTTTCGTTACAATGTAAATTTCCTTGTTGCCCGTGGTAACGCCATCATGATACAGTATAACACTGTAAAATAATGCTTGAACAAAGTAACTGTGAAGTTGATAGTTTAATCACTGAAAGAGATAAAGGGGTGGGATTAAATAAATGTTTTCTTCTGCCCACTCCTTTTCAGGCAGAATTATACGGCCATGTTTATACCGTACATTTATTGTTTATACTGTTTTTGTTTATTGTGTGTTTTTTTGCATTATATGATTTATATTATTTAACTGCATTTAATTACCTTGCTTACTCACCTGTGCCATTGCCTGAAATAAATGAAAAAATTAAAAAAAATGAATGAATGAATGTTTCTACTTCTGTCTCTGTGTCTATGTGTACCTGTGCTCCTCTCCCCTTGTTGCTGGTCCATTGTCTTTTTTTTTTTTGCATTCTTGCATTTTTGGGTCCTTCCTTCATTTTCAACACGTGACAGATAGTTTTGTGAACCTGCAAACACTGGGGCAGATTCCCCACCGTGACACCATACCACCACAGTGATAAGAATCTATAGCAGCTGCAGCAGAGACAAGCAGTCTGTGCACGTGCCGCTCTGAGGACCGGACCGAAGCCGCTCCACATAGTTTGAGAAGATAGACACTGCATACTGACAGATTTTTGGCACCATCGCACCAGATACGTAAATGCTGTCAAATTTAAAAAAGCCTTTAATCGAGCCAGATGTTTGTTTTCACTTCAGACTACCAAACAAATTCAGTTGATTGCATTCCTGAGTTCCACATTTGATCAAGTACTGACTGCGTTTCCCTTCGGCCATCTACGCCACATGTTTTTGCTAAGAGAAACCAGAAGACGCAAAGCAGGCCAACATGCAATCTCACACGCACTTATCTATGTATACAAAAAAGCTGCCTGCAATGTTGTGTATCAGATTTCCTCCATAAATATTATACATGTGTAATAATCAATAAATGCTAAATAAATGTTTGCTCACTGTTTAGTCGATGTACTTGTATGTTTATATGGATGTGTTTTCCGCTGCTGGACACTTGAATTTCTCCTACGATGGATCAATATATTTTCTATCTAGTTAGTTAGCGAGTTAAAATAAAGTTTATAGTACTGTCAAGAAATGAAGACAAGACAGCGGCGAGACAGGACAATGTCATAAATATGTCAGTCTACATTTTGGAGGTTTTCCGAAAGTAGGATCTTTTTAACGGAAAGAGCTGTGCTTCATTTTATAGGGTTTTTTTTTACATATATTTTGGTTTTGTGCTTTCATGTAACATGTTAGTGCCATATGAACCGGCCCGGACTCTGAGGAGCACAGGGACGGGGCTCCTGTCAGAGTCAGGACTAAACATGGGGAGGCTGCTTTTCAGATTCATGCTGCTAAAATCTGGAACAATCTTCCTGAAGATGTGAGACAGGCCTCTAAAAATACATCTAGAATACAGTTTTTATATTTGATTTAAGAAAGAAACAATTATTGAAAAGGATTACTTAACTCAAAGATTGATTTACTTATTTCCAAAGCATTATGGAGTTATTTTGTTTGTAGTAGTACTTGTCTGGGAAAGCCCACGCTAATGTGTACGCTAGGTTCATTTCGAACTGCAGAACATTCACTTTGACGTTAGCCATTTTACAATATTAAATGAACAAACTCAGGTCTTTGGGTTGTGGTTTGGTTTTATATGTTGATGATGGCGCCTGATACTGCTCCAGCTCAGAAGCACTGTTGTGAAGCAAATCCTTTTTTCTTATATGAATTGTACCATACACTTGCTTTTCCTGGCCTGTTGCTAACTCATATGTATGTTGAGGCTGTTGAAACATTTTCCAGATCAAGGAGTTCCCAGTGTTCTAAACCCAATCCCGTGGAGATGAAATCATGTGTTCTTGTGTCATGCTCTCACCAGCAGTCTCCTCCTGTTCTCGAAGTAATCCAGGAACGTGAGCAGTGGTCCCTTAGGCGGGGGCGTAGGTCTCTTTGTGATCTTCGGGAACTCGTCTATTTCAGGATACTTCGACAGCTTCTTCCCATTCTTCTTGCCTCCGTTCTTGCCCTCTCTGCCCGCTCTTCTCTCTGCTTTCTTGGCAGCCTTGTCAGTCCTCTTCTTCTTCTTATCAGCTTTTTCTTGCTTCACTTTGACTCTTTTAGTGGGGCTGGTCTCAGACAGAGTTTCCTCCAGGTCACTGTCTGTTGGCCGGCTCGGTTCAAACTTATCTTCGTACTCATTGGTCAAGACCTTGGAAAATAAAGATCATGTTTCTGATATTAAGGTACATTCATATGAGAAAGTATGGAATATTTCTGTCATCCTTGAAATCATGCAGAATTGCTGTTTGTAGGCAGTTATTTTGTGAGCAAAGTGGGTGCATTCATATGTATCCTATTTTGGTCATGGCCAGATCTAGAAGCTAAGCAGGGCAGGACTTGGTTATTACTGTGATGGGAGACTGCTACCAGGTAATACTAATACCGAAGCAAGTAAAATTGTCATTGTATCCTCCTTTGTAAGATCAATAAAATGTATCTCATCTAATCTTATCTTAAGCAAGACACATTGGCAACTATGAGTCTGGTATGTGCATGATTAAACCGTAGTGGTCAGATTGTGCAGATTAGTAGCTTGCTTCCGTCAGTCTACCCCAGGGCAGTTGTGGCTATAGAAGAGGTCCCCACCACCGTATGTAGAGTCAATGTACAATGTATAATAGATAAAAGAGGCAAAAATTGATATATAAAACTGACGCATTATTTTGAGTACTTGATTATGACTCCTCACCTTCTCTGCAGGTGGTTTCTTCTTGCTCGGCTTGATCTTTGTTGGCTTCTGTGTGGAGGGCAGCTGCTTGCGGCCGTGGGGCTCTCTGTCTGTGCGGTTGTCCCCAGCAGGGGTGGTTCTGGTCCTGTCTCTGCGGGTGTGGTAGTATTCTTCAGGTTCTGAGGTGGTCCGGGGGAGGGGGATCCAGAGGGCAGTGGTGTGGGCTCTGGTGGTCCTCTGTGTGGTGGTGGTGGTGGGACGTCTTGTGGTCGTAGTGGTCCGTTTGGTGGTGGTCGTAGTAGCTCTTGTAGTAGTAGTAGTTGCTCTGGTTGTAGTAGTTGTTGGCCTTGTAGTAGTAGTTGGTCTCGTGGTGGTAGTAGTTGTAGCTTTGGTCGTTGTGGTTGTTGCTTTGGTTGTTGTGGTGGTGGGGCGTGAGGTTGTGGTGGAGATGGTGGTTGTGGTTGGTTTGGTTGTAGAAGTTGTGGTAGTAGACATGGGTTTTCTCCGCTTTGGTAGTTTTCTGTCTTCTGGTGCATCAACAGCTAAATATATTGCAGTTTTATCAAAATCAAACCCAGTGTCAGTGTAAATGTAATTTACATCTACATATTAAACTTGTTCTATACATCTAATCTGCATGGTATACAAGCAAATAGTGCATTTACGTATTAACTTTATTCAACTTTGTCCAGATTATGACACACTTACAGTCTTGTCTAGCACACAATAGAGACAATACTTATTCAGTGTAATAATGGCTAAATATTGTTTCTTGTCCTTGTTTGGCATTGACATTGAACAAAACCAGAAAGTCTCTTGCCTTTTCATAGTTATTCAATGGACGATATACTAAATCAATGCCCTTATGTTTACTGATCCCTTCATCCTTATTATCCATCATCAATTCTTGGTGCAAAGAAAAATAAACTTTCAACTATTTTAACTGGTGTCGACAGAGCTGTTATATAAGTGCATTTTTTTGAATGCATCATTTCATTGGCTGTTATATTAAATTCCACCATATATATATTTTTTTCACCTGTGAATGTGCCCTGCTCCACTTGGCCCTCCACTCCAGCTCCTTTGCATTTCTGGACGAATCCTTTCTGCCGGATCTTCTCCAGTCTCCTGACCGGTGACTGGTCGATCACTTCATACACAGCCTCCAGCCTCACGGGGTACGGATACCTCTCCTCCACCTGCAGGGTCTTCCTCAGCAGCACCATCCCAAACTTACCTGCATGACATAAAGAGGAAGAGTACAAAGAACTTTGATTTTTGGATAAAAGACAGGTCAAAAAGACATGTGTAATGGCATATATGAACATTTATTGACATTTATTGACATTGGTCATCCCGCTACCCTATAGAATGGATACATAACATTAGCATTCCCTGTGTTCTTGCATTTCATTCTCTAAACTACTTTTGGCAAACTGAAGATTTTGTTCGGACGAAAAAGACAACTAAGGAGGACTGCTGTGATTTAGGGCTATAGAAAAATAAAAGTAATTGAAATGTACAGCTCATTATGTATAAAAAATACTAATATTTGCTCTAAAAACTCCAATAACTCACACCATGCCTTTTAATTATTGCCTATAATAACATAATAATCTTATCATTCAACTAATTGGTCAATGAATAGACCAAACAACTAAAAGACTTCAGCCATAATAGACATTATTGTGTAAATACGGTTTATATAATTCATAGCTATGATATTTACAAGCCCCATATTTTAAAGTTGATTGTGTTGTTGCTTTAGCAGGTCCAATTATGACCAAAGGTCAGGCTACTTCGACCATATTCAGTGGGTGGGCCTTACATCCCTATTTACACTATTTACACATGTATTGTCCAGTGTATTCAGGTCTTGCAGACGAGGCCGAAATGCAACATCAGATGAAAGTTTTTGTGTTTATTATTTAGATATGGCATGTTTCTATCTTTAATGCCATTTGTAAGCTATTCCTGTTGCTCAGTAAAACCAGACCTTTCTCCATTTTAAGGAAGCTCATGAGCCTCGGGATGAGCGCGGTGTCCAGCGGCTCCTCCATGACCTTGCCCTCCGTGGTGATCCTGCGCACTTTGCCTCCCATCTCTCCCTCTTGGTGAAACATGACGACCTGGTGGACGTGCCGCTCCGCCAGCTCGCAGTACACGTCCGGTTTGAGCAGTGACATCATCAGGCGGTAGTACCCATCCGACTCGTGGGGCGCAGAGATCACCAGGACCCTGTTTTTACCGGCAAAGCTGGCCAGCAGGTTTGGAGAGCCCGCTCCGCTGGGCATACGGGGCATTCGGGACCTGGCCTCATCCTGCAGCATGGCTCTCCTAGACGCAGTCCTTCTGAACAGAGGGGCCCCTTCATCAGCCTGGACATCCCCCGCTTTGCTCTGAACTAACCTGGTGCGCGTCTGTCCCTGTTGCGCGCGTCGGTAAAGCCGGACGCGCTGTTGTGTTGGTTTGTCCGTGAGCCCAGTCCAGCTCAGCGCGTATACGAGCATCAAACTCAGCACAAAAGACCTGTGCATTCTGAGACTTGTACAAGTTCTCACAGTACACAAAAAAATTATGATCCGGGATGGACCCGTTAATCCTGGTGTGTTTTTAATGCATTGGAAGGAATTCAACCAGACGAGACGACCAAAATATGGAGGAGAAATGAAAGCTGATCAAATGGGTGTTATAAAATAGGATTTAAATTACAAAAAGATAAATAATGTTTACGCATAAAGATCCAAGACTGCATGGCAGAAACGTCATATGTTAAGTCCAAGAAGGGAGAACAAGCTATTATCCTCTTTGATTTACTTTTTAAAAGTTTCCAAAGTGAACGCAATGACGTTTTATTAGTCAGCAATCATCCATTTCCTTTGATGCGTATAGAGAATCTCCAAGAACACGTCCTTTGTTTCCAGTAATACGTTTAAAACGTTGTTGATTCTTCTTTTCCCGTTTAAAAAAAGTAACTTTCCCAAACACACTCAGCGTCCAGACTGCAGGCGACGCAATGGCAGGCCGTGTCCCGGGACTGGCCACTTCAGTCTCAGCAACTCCCCCTTTCAACACGGATGACTCTGCAGCTCCAGCTGTGGACCGTAATCAATCACAGAAGTACAGCGGACTAGAAAGAGGTTAAACACGGGGGCTGCTGTAACTGGATCTGCGCCCCGTTGGCCGCATCACCACATCAGGATCAGTGTCATGTTCCTCCTCAACACGAACCGCCCCAGGTCTAATCTATGGTCTATCCTGGTCTATCCTGGACACACCATATCATCAGAGAGCCTCAGGAAAAGGCATTGTTTTAAAACTAACACTGCACTTCTAGAGAACAACAGCTCAACATTTAGAGATATCAAAAGAGATCCAAAGTCTAGTGATCAAATTTGTGTTAGTGCTCACTGAAACGTTCCAAGTTCAGGTTATGATTAACTGAACTGAGGAAAGTGAAGCTGTGGGTTAAAACCACATCCAGAGAACAAACACTATCATTGCAGTCAGTAGTCAGTGTGAGGCAGAGCAGAAGTGAGTATACTGTCTGTGACTGTGACAGAAGATTTAAAAATAAGTTAGATTTACCTGATTGTTCAAATATCCGCTCACTACTTTTGGAAGCAGTTTCCTTTGCTTGTGTCCAACTTAATTTGGACCAAAAACAACAGCAGCATAAATAGATCAAGGATAGACATATGAAAAAGAAACACATCTCAATAAGAATACATGCATATATAAAAGCATATATATTTATTTATTTGTATAAAGATATTCTTGTGTTGTGTCAGATAACCAATAATCAAAATTAGCGGATTACAAAAATTGAGGAAGGCGTAGCGCAGAAACAAAGCATTCCCAAAACATTTTTATTTTACCGATCTTATTTTATTTGAACTAAGACATTTGCGGGAATCATTTTTTGATTCAAGAGAAGTCTGTACGGCCTCTCCTCCAACGCACCTAATCTGTAGTAATCTCCTCCAACGCACCTAATCTGTAGTAATTGATTTTCATTTTCATTACACACAAATACATTTTAAACCAGAATATGCAACTTTTTGGCAAAAAAAATGTGTCCTAATGAGTTGTATTTAATGTTTATTCAAAATAGTATCCTAATGTGTTTAAAAGTGTATATACTTTATACGATGATAAGGACAAACCGGGGGCAATGCCAAAAAAATATTGGTAAAAATACATGATATCTGTCCCAAGTTTCTTCAATAAACAATATGATACATGCCTGGGGTATCAGCTGTTAAATGCAGTTTGTAGTTTTTAACCAAAACAAAGCATTTTCACAGTTGAGCCTCAAATGCCACTACTCTTCTTTGTTTTAAACAGGGAAGGAAACCGCCCATATCACCAGGAAACTGTAAAAAAGTGCCCTTTTTTCCCCCGCACCACCCTTTTACTGTTAAACTAAGGCGTCTGCACCACATCCCACACCATCTGCATCTCACATGTTCTCATCAAAGACCTCCACATGTCTGACTGTAGCTGCAGATCAGACCTGAGATTAAGAGCTCAAAGAGAGGCACAGTTAAACAAGACGGATGGAGATCATTGGGGGCCTATAAAGTTTCAACACTTGTGCTTATTTGGCTTCAAGAGTTATTGCAATCAAAATCTCTGATCACAATTTTCAAATGGAAAAAGATGCCATTTCATACTATACTGGTGAGTCGTTTGTCACACATAAAGCAAAAGTAATCAGTCGAGGACATGATATTAAAGACAAGTATGTTCTACCATTGTTAGTATTTGCTGTCCCGTGTTTGTATACTTCTGTAAACCCATTAAATGTTAGTTTAAAACCTGAACAGTTGATTTAAATGTGCCGTTAGCTTTTGTACTGGAGCAAATAAGCTCAATGAGTAATGTGTTTTTTTATGGGGTGGAATTAAATAAGTTTTCTTCTTCCCACTCCTTTTCAAGTATCTGCAAGTGTTTCTTTTGTGTAAATAATATTTATAATTTTGTATTATGTAAATGTAACTCAGGGTTATTAATGCTCAATTTTGAAATTCTTCTTTTGTTTCTTGTACACTAATTTGCCCGAAATATACATGAATGAATGAATGTAATTCTAAAAGTTTGAGTCTAAATTGAATGTTAAGATCCTCCTCTTCTCTCCAAACATCTTGAGCCTTTTTCAAGCAACGCCATTTTAAGTTTTTTCTTTTCTATTTGAAGGTCTGAATTCCTTATCTTTTTATCATATTGTCAAACATTCCAGGCAGAAAAATACATCTCAATGTGATGCTTGTGTATCAGAGCCACTGAAACTAACCTGTAGCAGCAGGTGCACAAAGATATTTTTCATTAGAAAACCTGCTTCAGGAGAACACACTCAAATACAGTTTGATTCAACAATTCATATTACGTGTTTATCTAAATATCATAATTAGAATGGAAACTGCAATGTCTGTCTAATAATGACGTGTTATTCCAGTGAACTTTTTGTTTTTCTTTCAATCTCCACAAAAACTGACTTGTTCTTTCCAGAGAAATTGAGTTTTCCTATGGCTGTTTACTTAAAATGTGTGCTAGTTAATTAAATCCGCTTTCAACATGTCCATTGAATTTCTCTCTGGAAACAGCGGCTCCATATCCTCTGAGAGAGCTAAATGCATCTGGGTGAATGAATATTTGAGGCATTATACTGTAAGTCTGTACAGCCTGTAAGCTGAGCCCATGACCACCGCAGCATGAGCGGCTTTTCCCGAGTCTATTTATGATATCAATAGGCACTTTTTCCTGCCATCACAGAAGGACACACCATGACTCAATCACCACATGGAGCTGCCCTGACCACAGAGCCTCCCGACTGACCCCAGCATGTGCTCGAGTCATTACACTTCTGCTGGATTTCCACACCATTCATGTGTGCACAGTTTCAATTAAATCAGATGTATGAATGAACAAGACCTGCTTTTGGTGTCAGTTCACAAGACTGACATTTTCAAGGTAAATTTAGAAATGAAACTGATCCTTTGGTTTAACAGATTTCAAAATGAATATTCGTCATACATTGTTTTGCCTTTTCATGACACTATTTACTTTTACTTTTCCAATATGTACTATAATACTAAATATGTGTAAGTATGTTGTGTTATAGAATTTGAAATATTATCTTAGGTAGAAAATGCTGTATATGCTGTAACTCCCTGCGCTACCACCAGAGGGAGGTGTTGAAAAATGGTACTTTCACCTAAGAAATGGATCAAACTCATTTCCAGGCAATGCATGTGTGTGATGTCATAGCAGTACAATGACATCATATCAATACAGGACTGAGAGAAGACTTTAAGACAGAAGAGGTGGAGTTTCTGATAATAGCGTGAATGAATCTAAAAATCTCATAATTGGCAATTTTGTATATTATATCTCTTACTCAATAACATATCTCCGTATTTTCGTAAAGGATTGTGCAGGTTAAAGGATGTATGAGTTAATATGGTCTGGTTTTGGTTCAGACACATGTTTACAACAATTGTGGAAATGTGGTCAATAAGAAGCTCTCCATCGGCCAAAAATAACACATTCCTCATTACAATCATTTAAATACTGCTTCAGGAATGCTGCCTTATCCCTGTACTCTTCAGTAACAATGAACCAAACCATTTCCATATGAAATTGTGCGTTGGGTATGCAGGTTGTAACAGAGAGGGACCTCAGGCAGGGGAAGCTACAGTATCAACGCTGAATGATTTTATGAGTAAGGTAAATACACACTAAACTTTTAAAGTCCAGAAATAAAGTGTTTTCCCAGTGGTGCAGACATCCACATGAGGTTAATGCATTCACTAGAATAATGTCCAACCATAAACTGCTGCATACATGATGTGAAAGCATAAACATACACAGCATGTCGGGACTTGTTGTGACTTTGCATAGTTCATTTTAGTGTATACTCAATAAAATACAGATGTACACAAGAAATGATCAACTTCAAGCTATAGTCCTGAGGTTGAATAAAATATAAACGCATTAGGCATGTGGAAAGGTTTATGTATAAGGCTGATATGTTTACTTTTAGAACTTAATTTTCACTTTATTCATTTAATTTCTGCCACGCAATTAAATGCACCATGTTTCCTGCTTTCACAGCGCGTAATGAAACAAACAAAAACAGACAAAAAAAAAAAAAAAAAACATTTCCAATATAAGCATGGCTCTTCCTTGTGCTCTTAAATGCATCTGCTGGCCGTGTCTCAACAGGATCTGGTTTATGCAGTAAACAGAGTAGAAATGGTTTAATCCAGTTATATCCAAATGGACTGGGGTTTTTTTTTTTTCAAACCTCAAGCAAATCGCTGCACACAGGTTTACAGCTTTCTAAACCTACTCTGCAACACAATATTTCTGATTGAGAGAATTCTGATTGTATTTAGTTTTGTCGATCTACATCAGGTGTCTCCAATTTTTTTAACCCAGAGACGAAAAAGGCTAGAGAGCTACTCCTTTAAACGGCCCTGAGGGAAAAAATGGGGATGCATTGGTGTGAACAAGCCTTATATTGGGTACAGTC